TCGTGCCATTGCACTAACAATAATATTGATGTGACAAACTTAATTATTAAAAGATTTTTAGATTATAATTAGAATGATAAGAAAAATTTACATTTTGGGGTATCATTTTTAATCGTAAATATTCTAAATTAAGGAGGTTTAAAAAATTGTTTGGGGTTCAACACCTTTATTAAGATGTATAGGTAAAAGGTATTTAGAGAAAAAAAGAGTAACAGTTAAATTGTTTACCTAAGGCATAAAAAAAGTAAATAACCTTTTGAGTATAGTAAACTATAATATAGTATAATATACTATTTTTTTATACCATATTATGGCTCGTATGCCCGTAAGCCAATGATTGTTGTCTTATTAGAAAATTGTCTATACGCTGCTAAATAGCTTAAATTATTATTTATATTTAAACACAGTCAACCCTTCAGTACAAACGAAGGACATTGGAAGAAATTCAAAATGGGACTCGAAAATAGAGTCGTTTTTATATTTTTTTTGTGTTACTTTGATTGGTATTAAGATCGTGTAATATTCACTGCCGCACACGCTACCCACTATTTGTTAGGTTGCTTAATATGATGTGCGTGTTTTTATTCTGTCTCTAAACAACTATTCGAAAAGAAATCTTGCTCCGATGAATAGAATAGAATATTTTTCCTTAATGGAAATTGTGTCTAGTTGGTGCATTAGACAGGTAATTTTTTAATTTTTCAAGGGGTTTTCGAAATAATTGAGAAAAATTATAGGTAAAATGGCAAATATTTCAGTGGCATTACCGATTTCATTGTTTTTAATTTTTACAACTTGTGTTTTCTACCGGAATTATTGCTCCAATCAAAAAATGACAATAGCTATTTTTTAACATATAGCCACTGACAAAGAAAGTCGTATTTTGATATCCCAGTTATCCAGTTTTCATAATAATTAGGAAAAACTGTGAAATGACAAAACATATGAACTAGGATTTCTTTATTTTAAATTTTTACGCTTTCCGTTTTCTACCAGAAATATTGCTCCAAAAGAAGAACAACCATGGATCATTTTTGTTAAATTTTTAATCCAGTTGATGATCAAGAAATTCGTTTTTTAATTTCCTTTGTAGAGTATTTTAATAATTGAACAAAACCATAAAATACATAGAAAGAACGAGAAAATTTATGAAAATAATGCTTTTATTTTTTTCAAATTTGTTTTTTGTATTAATTCAGTTAAAAATATTCATTGAGACTTGAAATTTAGATATAAAACTTATATTGGCTTTTTCTGGAAGTGGTACAATGTTAAAAACATTTGAACCATTTTCTGCTATTTATAGACATTTTAATTATGTGAGTTTCTTATGTAATTTTATTTTTTGTTTTCTTGTGTATAAAATTGTTCGACTAAATAGAAATGCTTGAAAACTTAACAGGAGGTTCATTATAAGTTGTGAAAAAAAGAACGTTCAAAACGTATTTTTTTTATTTCAATATTAATTTTTTAATAGTTCATACAACATATTTTTAAGTAATTATTTGTATGCATTGTATAATTTATCTACTTATACTTAACTATACAGTAATATATATATAGGTAGCTGGTAGATAGGTATATATTCTAACATATATAGTTATTGTTTTGTACCTATATGTAGGTATTACCCTCACTCTATGTAAGACAAGTATAACTGAATCATATACCTAATGATTAATGAGTGTTGAGTTTAAGTAAATTTACTTTTTGTACGATAACGGATTAAGACTTTAAATCATAGTACCTATGTAGTATATAATACGTATTATATTAATATATATTTGGTAGTATAGGTAGGTATAGACATACCTATTAGGTACAAGTGTACAACAATGCATAGATAAAAACAATACCTCTTTCTATAGTTCTTACTTTTCAGTGATGTATATTGTATATTTACACCAATAAATAAAAAATAATACTATACATTTTTTTAAACAATATTCCGCACCTTGATAGGCATATTATATTGTGATGATAATAATGAGATAGTAGACAAAAAAACAATGTTAACTGTACGCAAATATTTTTAATTGTAATACATCTACAAATATTTGGTATAGAGGTGTGAAGCCAAGGTTAATAATCAAACAGTCTTCGAGGAGTAATCCCGCACTATTTATAACATTTTTCATGATTCAACGATTCTATAATTTATATCGCGGTAACAAATTTCCAGTCTGAAAGTGGCATAAAATAATATTGCAAAGGCTATTGTGATTTTTGATATTTCATGCATGTATGAACTATTGTACTGGCAAAGCACCTGGAAAATTTGTCGGACGTCGGTGGTGTGAAAAAAAAGAAGGTCCGAGTACAAATAATATACCTACCTACACGTTTCATACCCGTCAAATCGCGTTGTGGTTCCAAACGGATTACTGCACACCTTGTATAATTATATTATGTGTATACTAATGTGTACATAAAAATATACATCCGAGAATTCTCGCGCTAAACGCAGGTAGGTATTAATGGTTGCGTTTTACGCGGGCAAGAGGTGTAAGTCTCGGCCGTTTTGTATACAATTTAATATAATTACAAGTGTACAATAACAATAGTAAGTAATATAGAATATATTATATGCGGGCTCGGGCATTTGTTACGAGTACCCGGTTACTGGTTAGATGTAATTGCTGCGGTGACCGGGTAAAATTGTTTCAAAGTCAATAATAATAATACGAACTTTATGGGTCCATAAATCTTTGTTTCCTTCTGTCTGTCCGACCGACTCCTCTGCAATGTTGGTCATAACTCTTTTATACATAGATATAGCTACTTTTAAACATACTTGCATCATACGCTTTATCGCTAGTGGGCTGCTCAATAAACATTTTCCGATTACGTTATTCGCACAAAGACGAGAATGTCATTATACATTATATGTGTCACTAAAATATGGTATTTTATATTATGAGAAAACGGGATTCAGAGATTGGGTTTTATCCCTCGAACGTATTCCAATAATCAACGCTAAACTTATTGTGTGTCATATATTACGACGGTTTTAATTTGTTTAAATAATACGCAAGTTTTTATTAAAAAGTTAAATAATAGGTATCTTGGCACTAAGTAGGTACATAATCGAAAAATATTTAAATTTGGGGGGAAAAATTGAAATATATAAGTGTTTAAAATGGTTATATTTTTACACATACCGTATTATACAATTTTTTATAGATTAATAATAATGTATAGATTCGTTTATGAAGTTATACAAACGAATTAACTAGGGATAAATAAGTAGATAGTACTTATTAGTTGAATATTTTATTTCCATTGCAGCAGCGATTTCCCAGATGAATAAATGTTTACTTCCTTTGAATTTGTAAATAAATGTATAGTCTAGATAAAGAAAATATAATAATAAAAATATAATACTTTAAATAATATGTATGTTTAGTATTAAAAATGTAATATATTGGATATTAAAATATTTATGAAGATAAAATAAAAATATGTTAGAATTAATTTTGTATTAAAATACATAGTTATGTAATATTATCATGATTTAAGAGTACCTAACTAGGTTTATAATATAATATTTGCTATGTGGGTACTCATATGGACAATACAGAAAAACAATTTTAATTCGACTACCGATGTAAAAAAGAAAAACTTTTATAAGTTTTTGGCCCCGGTCCAATTAGTGGTGCATTTAGAATATATGCGCCCCGGGGAAACTATTTTATTGCCACCTCCTCTTCTACCACATATTTTCATCCACTATAATCTTTACCTCAGAACTTCCCTCCCCACCCTCAATTACTGATAAATGTGACCCTTGCTTGTTTTGAATAACATTTTTAAATGTATATCCTATATAGGGTTTAACAATTTACAATTATTTCAAAGTGTTTTATATCCAAATAAAAAATTGTACCAAATAATGAAATAAGTACATTTTTTTACGTTATCTGCAATTGTTTCATTCATATTACATTCAACTCAAAATCATTTTACACGATAATCTGTTGTCACATATTACTTATAACTTGGGGGTGCAGAGTTTAGACAACATGTGTAGAAAAAAGTTTATACAAAATGCGACCGTTCTCGACATAAAACGGCGCTTATAAAAATCACCTATAACTAAAAAAAAAAATCATAGATTAAATCAATCTATGAAATGCAATTAAAGAAATCTGTTATAATCTGTAATCTTGATTTTTTTTTCCTTAAAAAACTGTTTTACGAGGGATAACTCAACTTTTCTTGTGCTTATTGTAGAGGCAGAAAAATAACGACCACATAGCAAAAAATTTAATCTGTGTTCCAGCGTGCTAACTGATAACTATTGAGTTTTAAACATTTGTGATAAAAACAAAAACTAATACACTCAACAAACTGCCGCCCTTAAATCTGTTAAAATTTTGTCGCTGGGGGCATTCACTCCCTTCGACACTCCCCTCTAAATGCGCCATTGGATCCAATATGTGACATAAAGAAACATTTTCGGTTCAATGTGTGCTCTACACATAACTATTGACCTACACTGCACTTTTTAATAGTTATTTTAACAAATCATTTATACCTACTACATTTATCCTTCTTGTCTGATAAAAATGTAGGCCATAGTAATTCTATGGAAGGGGCTAACTTTATGTTTGGGGGAATTTAAAAACGGGTAGGATGGGGTTGGGATCGGTAAACTTTCTGTTACCTATTTTATAATTTTTTTGCAGGTTTTTTGAGTGTGATTAAAAACTATTCTGTGTCTGTCTACTGAAAAATTATAAAATTACTTTGAATGAGTTACATTATTTAATATAGGTATATGCCATAGATTAAATTATAGAGCGGGCTTGAATAGTTGAATAAAACAGGCGGCCAGAGAGTCCATAATATTGTAATACATATTTTATTTAACGCGTGTACCGGCGTCGTCAGGGTCGACGGTGGAATCAGAGCCATTCAGAGGTAACGGTGGTTGTCGATTACTACGACATCTGGTGGTGTTGAGTCTAGCTACGTGGAGAATGTCAATATGTCCTCCGGTAGAATGAGATTAGGCCGCACGCGTTGTTATCGCACTTTGGCGCTGCAGTGTTAACCGCACAGAATCCGCGTAAAGTTCATCGTAACAGTATGTTTGTCTGCGACTTCACACAATTATTTTATTTAGATGATCGTTTAAAGTTCTGTGGTACATGTGATGTCTCAAGTGACCAGTGTTGATCGAACAGTCGTCTGGGCTGTATAATTCTCATTGATATAGTCCAATGACCACCAAAAACGGTAGTAACATTGTAGTTGAGTGGCTTCGGTCCCTTCACCTGGGTCAGTACGCCGATTCATTCTTAGACAACGGATATGACGACTTGGAAATATGTAAACAAGTAGGTGATCCTGATTTAGACGCTATCGGTGTATTCAATCCATCACACCGTAACAGACTATTACAGTCGGTACGTACATTGCGCGAGGAAGGTGCCGCTAGTGTTTATTTTACACTTGAAGAATCTGCTGCTATACAAGAAGAATGCAAGTATGCATCTGTCAAAGATTGTGCTCCCAGTCCTGGTCATTCATCGGGCAGCAGCACACAAGAATTACAGCAAGTTCATTATGATGAGTATGAAGAAGGCAAGGCTGAATTAGTTAGGATACCCAAACTTCAATTGAAATTACTGCTTAAGGATAAATTACTACAAGATGGTATTCGACTCAGTTCTCAACCTTATACTACTCAGGTAAGAGTTATTTACTATTATTTAATTTAATCCAATGAATTAGGGTAGCTAGGTACCTACTTCTGTAGGCATTTAATCATTAGATTGTTGGTTGTCTAATATATTTATAACCAGTACCTAGATAGGTTTTAATAATTATTCATTTTAATACACTCAGTATATAATGTTATGTTTAATATACACCTCTAATTATTATTTAGAGTATGTCCAATTAGCATAGTTATAGGAAAATATTTATCTGGTCCAATACTGTCAGTGTTATGGGCATGTAATTTTAATTTTAGAAATTTGTATTTGAAAAAGTTGCAGCAATTGATTTATATTATTAGGAATTTATTTTATTCTTCATAAATTTGATATCTCTTAATGAAATTTTTTTATTCGATTAATCCGAAGCTATCTGTCATTCACTGAAGTTCAAAGAAATAATTTATAGTGTAATATTTATTTCCTTTTAAAAAAATATGGTCTATTTAAATGCATTTTTAGATATTTTCTGTAAATTCATATTGGTACTTAGTATAAAAGTTTTAAATATCTACTTTACCCAGGAAAAAAGTAAAATTAGATAGGTAGGTACCTACTTGAAAACATTTGAACAACTATACATTCCTGTTTTTTATTTTACATAGTTATTTCAAAAGAAAAAACATTTTGAAAGTGAAATATTAAAAATTAAAAGTAAGTACCTACCTTGTTGGAAATTTAGAAAAATCCATTTATGTTTACATTACCTACTGATCTATAGTTAATGTGCGGATACTATAGATTTCTTAAAATGATTTTAATATTGTTTTTAATGTAATTTTTGGAATTTTTTAATTCAAAGTAACTATTAAGTATTTCTAAAAATATATTTTGTCTTTAGAAAAAAATTCAGAAAATGCTTAATACATTATAAATGTGAATGACTAATTGAAATTAAAATAGAAAAAGTGTAGGTATCTTTTATTATTATTTTTTTTAAGACATTTTGTAGGTAGGTAGATCATTAAATTACTTTTAATTTATGTGTTATGCCATTTTATTTGTCGTTTGAAATGTGGATAATAAATACTTAAGTCATAAAGCCATAATGCTGAAAAGTAAAGACAATACAAATAAATACTAAATACAATTAAAAATACCGGTTATTGTTAGTTCGAATTACCGTAAATAATGTTGTTGGGATAATAAAGAATTTGTTTTGGGGTAAGTGATAATTTTTCATAAACACATTTTAATTTGGAGTTATATTCACCCCATTCATGGCTTCCCTTGGTCATCCAATTTTAATAGAGTTAATCTAATGGTTAATTATTTACACCTACTATTTAAAAAAAAAACTACAAAATTTACAAAAAACATAATTAATTATTTATATCTAATATTTATTTATACTTTACTTATTTTAAGAATATAAATAAATATTATTATTCATGTTTATTATTTTAATATTCCTACATTTTTTTCTATTTTTTAATTTTTTTTTATACAATCAAAAGATATCTTTTGAGGTTGTAAAAATATTCGAAAAATTCCACGTTGCACAGCAATATTGAACTTGGATGGTGTTTTAGAAGTATAATTTTTCGAATTATCTACTCAGTAACTGTGTGAGTAAATTTTAATATTTTGAAAAAAAAAATCACCTATCTACTTGGTTGATTGTTAATTGGAATATCAAATAATTATTACGATGATAGGTATTCAGTAAGCACTGAGCAGTCAATAGTTTCAAGAAGTCTAAATAAAATAAATACAATTTAAAAATGTTCACGGAAACGGTTTGTTTTAAATTTAGAATTTAAATTACCTAAAGTATATACGTTATTTCTAAGAATTTTCAATAACGTAGTAAGTAACTATACATTTATTATTTGTATTTTATATACTAATGATATTCTAACGAAATTGAAATATTGTATATTTTATTAATAAAGATAGGATCGTCCACTTTAATATTATGAAATATTAATAATAATTATAAAATGAAATTGCAAAACAATATGCGATAAACTCACAAGCAACTATTATTATTGGCTTATCCGACGAATCTTGTCAACAATATATCGAATGGGAAAAAATGAATCAAAAATACAGAGCTTATTTGCATGATATTTGACAGTGCAGATGTCGCTACATCGCCGGAGAGCGCATCAACTATTCCATTATGAAAACGCAATTTATCCATTATTTTTATTCGTTTGAAATCAATAAGTTCAATCTGTCTCGACTCTCAGTTAATATAAGAACGTTTTGCAAATGGGACTACTGACTTTCTCGACGACGAAATAATAAAACATCAGCACCGTATAAGATGAAATTTATTGTTATTTGAAAACATTTTACGCTAGACGTTTGACGAATTCGCGATGATTAAGTGAATAAAAAAAAAAAAAAAAAAAAAAAAATAATTAAGAACAAATAATTTACGCACTATACGAATAAATGAATAATATTAAATGGTATAATGTATATAATCTCTGATATTATCATTGCAGAATACAGACACAATTACATGCAATGTTTGTATTAATTATTTATATTGGAAATCAAGTTCCTGAAGATGGTCAAAAGTCTACACACTGATATTATTATAACTTATGAAACTAAAGGAGGGGGAGACATAGTACATAGCATTATGTTGAGATTTTCTTCGAAACCGCTCTGATTAACAGTTTCCTTTTTCATAGGCAACGAGGATTATTTGAAGGATGAAAAAAGCTGATTGACTGGTTTTCGAGATCCGTGTTTGGGCAACGAGCAATTAGACACTAATACAGTAAATTGACGGGTCGAAAAAAACTCAATGATAATTTAATACACATAGTTCACAGTTTTTGCAATAATTGATCTGTATAACACACAAGACATACGAAACGAATTAAACAATTCAACAGAAGATTGTAATAAATCAATAGAAACCACCAAAGTTTAGTTTACCATATTTTTCAACTTTATATTAAAGTCTATAATAAGTCCACAACATAAATAAATAATGATTACCCGAATATGAATGATTATGATAACTATGTAACCGAATAATACGAATATCAATGATATCCCTTCATATTCTAATAATCAACTCAACGCCTAATTTTATACACCCAATAAACTATAATTATTCATTCAATATTTCCCATACATTAAAATTATTATTATTTTTTTATTCTAACCGGAAATCCATCTTGTAGAAATAGTAAAAACAAAAATATATTTAAGGTTCATTAGAGGGAACATGGGATGATGTAATATTGGGAATGGCGCCAGTTGATAGAAATAAAAGGGTAAAACCAGACGAAACGTCTTCAGTTATACGACTGATAAATAATGTGAAAAACAATGATGTAGCCATTGATTAAATATACAGATCCAAAGAGATAAAATAATAATATTTTTGGGGCAGAAAAATAATATATTATTTAGACTATCCGTGTTGCATTTTATGCCATCAATCTCCTTCTATAATAACGAAAAACTAAAAATGATACTACTACGTAAATATTAGAATTATACAAAAACTAATAAGTATTTTAAATCTGCTACTTTTATGAACAAATTACTACTATTTACTTAAATAACGAATAATAATCGAATAATGATTAAAACCGAAAAAAAACATAGGACTAATGGACAATTTTACGAAAATAATGCTTTTATTATGTTAAATTTTGCTTTTTCGTTATTATTCAAGTTATAAAATATTCGTAGAGACTAGAAATGTCGACGGAAAATGTTTACTTACATTTTTTAGACGTGGAAAAATGTTCAAAACGTTTGAGTTATTTTTGAGTTATTCATAGACATTTTAATTTTGCGAGTTTTTTTACGTAATTTTAATTTGGTAGGTATGCCGTAGATAAATGGTTAGATTTAACAGAAATGCTTGGAAATTTGATAGAATATTTAATATAAATCAAACTTAGTGATCAGAAACAAAAAATTAGTTTAATGTAGGTTTTGTTTTTATAAGAGTTAAAATTAACGACAATTGTAAATATTACGGCTTTTCAAAATATGTTTAACCGAAATTCACTCTGAATCGTTTTCCGTCATTAATGATTTATCGTTTGTTACAAGGTATAAATTAAATAACTTTATGTATCCTACCTTCTCCACTACCCACCTACAACAGTGGCCGCATGGCCCACTCTTTCCCAGTACCAGCTATTTTATTCTATTTACATAAATAAAAGAAATAACTATATATATATTTTTAAACTTATAAATATATTGTATTTATTTTTTACATTTTCTGGTTGTAATTGTAATGACTTCAACTAGTGCTAAATTATTTTATTCATATTCTTATTTTACTGGATTATTTGCTAACACTTTAGTATCGATCGTATTTATAATTTATACATTTACATTCATTTCGTATAACCATTACATTAAATTGAAAGTCGTTTTTCCATTGATTAAAAAAAAAAGTTCGCAAACTCAGATAACTTTTCATGAATTGAATGCAATTCAACTGAAATGGGTTTACGAAATGGGTTTGGCGAAGATTTAGATTAAAAAGACCAATATTTTGGCACACACATTATGACCACTTAAGAGTACTTTTATGATTTTTTTCCTGCGTTTCTTTACTATCAAAACGTTTAATATATTTTATATCTACTTTATATACTATAATTGTGAACTATTATTTATGCAATTAAATTCTAAATCGACAGTGGTAAAAGATGATTTATTTTTTGTAAATTGACTGAATACTAAACTGTATTTTACAAATATTATCATATCATTTTATTGTGGAACTTTTGATATACTGGTACATTCACTCAGCCATTAACCTAATTTCACAAATGGTATCGTATTAATTATAATTTATATACAAATGTAGAGTTTGGACTCGACGAATGCGAACCGGTAGACTTCTTATCTATTTTTTGATTACTGCTCCTTGTTTCTATATAAGTACAGTCTTGGTAACTTCAAATGTTACACAAGTATCAACATTTCAGATAAATTCATTAATTTAAGATAGCTAGACAATTTATAATTTGTACCCATAATATATTAGGTATACTGTATACAATACAACACGCATATAATTTAATGATTTACCGTATGATATAATATGTGTTGGCTTTTGGTAATTTCGCCCTATAAAATATAGTATTGTGTTAGACTTATCGTTAAATCGTGTTTTGACAGTACATGGTATCACATGTTTATCGACCCAAAACATTTTACGACTCACGAACTTTGCGCATAATGTTTGGCAAATGGTAATTGTGTATGTTCCTTGTATAAATGAACAACCCGCTAGCTGTTTGGAGTTTTTTGTTATTCAAATTGTGTTCGTTTAAATTGTCGACGAACTTGTTATTATTTTATTGCATAGTTGACGCTGGTATTTTTTTTCTAGGTTCTGAGCGTTACGAGATATTTATTGGTTTTACAGTGAAATGTATTTCTTAAATTGTTTTATCATTCATTTGTTTTTTTAACTAAATGACTACACACGTTACACATTATACGTTTTTAGATATCACAAGACTGATTTGTAATTAGTAAAGTAAATTTCGATTTTTTTCGAATTTTTATTTCTTTATTTAATGCTCTTGATACTTTTTGTTTCATCTATTTATTTAGTTTTTTCAACCTGTATAGGGTTATTTCACAACAATCTTCCAGTTATCTCTATCGCTAAATTCTTTCGATTTGATCAACCCCCCCCCCTCAAAGTTTCCGCATTCTTTTCAACTACATATTCTTGTTTTTCTCGACGGCATTTTGTTTACCGAATTCTGGTTTTAACCGCCGGAACAGATTTTGGCTTTTCCTGCGTAGGTTTTCTTTATAAATTCTAAAATATTCTTTTCTTTGTACATTGTTTTTGGCTCTCTCTATTTTTTTTTTATCTTCGTCTTCATATTTCGGTTTTGATCTCTTTTAGTGTTGTTTATAAATCTCAAATATATTTCTATATCATATATATATATATATTAAAACTCAAAAAATTAAAATAAATGCGGGAAACTGAACATATAAAACTTACATAATATTATATGGTAAATTATTAAAGAACATTTTACCGAGTTATAAAATTTGAATATGTAAGTATACCATTCTGTTAGGTATTAAATAAATCACTATATACATTTCTTATCGTTTTTTCGTTCTTCTTTTCTTCTTAAACCCAATAAAAAATGTAAGAGTGTTTGTGTGTGATATATATTGTGTACGTATCATGGTAAGACTAGACAATTAATCTGACGGCATTGGGTGGGTTTTAATGTATTCACGCTAAAGGGTCGGACATAAATCCCGGAACCTCTTATCGGAAGCCTGTCCCTTCCGGCTTTCTCGGGACGCTGATAGTGTCAAGATAGCTCTGCTTTGGTCTTTAAGCCTTTACACGCTTCGAGAAATTCAGTACCAAACTAAAGAGAAAATCGTTCAAATCGCTCGTTCGCACAATGCGCATAAGTACAGTTTTACCCAAGTTTTGTTCAAGGAAGGAAACCCCGAATGCTGCATCAACATTATTAATTAATATGAAAAAAAAACCATTAATAATTTATTCTTTTTAATGCCTTCTCAATATTTTAAAACAATCTTTGCCATTCGGGATCATTTTTGTTATCTATTGATCATATTTTAAATGTGTTCTAATTACTTGGCTGAGCAAACATAGTTACATAAATAAAAAGTCCTCTAATATCGATAACATTTTTTATTAATGAATTATGTACAGAAGAACGTAATATGTATTGAAACATCATAATTTAATTTTTCTAATCATTATTAATTATTAATTTTTACATAAATTAATTTAATATTGAAATTATTTTGACGGCATTGTTTGTTAATTACTTATTTAAAAATATACGGTAAATATAATAGTCGTATGAATGATGATTATTTTTCATAATAATAACTATAAATTCGGAAATCAATTGCAATCGTACATACTGCACAGCATATATTATTTACTATTAAGTATTAAGACGTTAAAAAAACATGCTATTTCGCCAAAAGTGTATGTTTAATAGCGAGAAATAGATTTTTACTGCAACAGAATTATATTATTTTATTCTATTCTTTTTTAGCAATAAAAGATTTAGGGAATATTAGGAACTCAATATTTGTATACATGACCTATTTTACAATATTTAACTTTTGTTAAGTATATATAGTTTATAGTTGGTTAGACAGCAATGAATTATACGGATTTATTTTTAAGTATTTTAGTTTACAATAATATACTCGTGGACTAGTGTACACGATAAATGCTCGTATTTTAAATTAATAATTTTTAAAGTTTGTGTTTAATAATATTATAATATTATTATATACTACTACAATATGTTTATAATTTATATGCCACATGTCAAAAAAAAATACGCGCGTAACTGCATACATATTATATTGTTGGAAAATATTTATTTTAGAATGAAAAAAAAACTTGAATGGTACACCTATTTTATCTTTTGTTAATATTTCTCAGAATATTTCTGGACAGATATATAAGTTGGTTGCCAGACGACTTTATTATAAACCATATTTTGTCTTGGAAAACAAAAACACTCTTATGATAAACAATTATTATATTATTATATATTCATAAAATATGACGATTGTTTTATGCTTTTAGACAGGAGTAAACATTATTTTATTTAACTCGAATCTTGTTCATTGTTAGGAAATAATAGTTTGCGGCAAGAGTCTTTGGTAATTATACGTATTGTTGGTTATTTAAGCAATTAAAATTTCATAAATATTGTAGGTAAAAAAAAAAATGTTAGGGTTAAAATGCATTCACTAGACCGGGAAATAATAGTCGTACATTGTGTACCTTTAGACTAAGTTATAATTAGGTAGGTCGTAGGTACCCTATTTAAAAATGTCAATTTCGTACTGAAGCACATAAAAATATTTTACCTTGCATGTGATTGATCGAACAAAACAATAATTATTATATGATTAAAGTAATTTCTTTAAACTACTTAATATTCGTATTAACCATTAATGTTTTTTTTTTTTACTAGTGTTTATTTTTAAAATATGTACAAAAAAGTATTACTTAAAATTTGACTTATAATACGAATTATTGAAATCAAGTATTAATTGAATGCGTAATGTTAGTGCTAGTAAAAATTAAAAAAAACTGATGGTTTTATTGTTTTTAAAAATATCATTTTATGTAAATCAATGCGTTACCCCGTATAGTATTTAATTTGAGTTTTGGTTGTGTTGTATATGTTCTAGTTATGAGTTCTGATCTTTTACCTACTAAAATATTATAAAACAGTATTTATAAGCAACGTAACTAGTTGAAATACGACAAAAATAAATAAAGTATAATATTTGAAACACGTATTATTTAAGGCTATTCCTTTTTCCTGATAACATTTAATCAACTTTGGAACTTATCAAGAGGGCCAGTTAGCAGATACAAGTTCAAAATGTTGGCTCTGATAGTGCAAAAAAAAAAAAAAAAGAAAAAGCAAAAAGAAAGGGAAATAAAGAAAACGAAGAATATGACGTGAGGGTTATGTTTGTACTATACGCGAGTAAACTAATCTTCGACTCTAGGCACGTAAACTTCACAAATGACAGCTTAGGGTCTCTTGGGAGGAGGTGGACGAGGTGGTGGCAGTATAGTAGCGCGTAGGAGCAAAGCTAACAGAAACAAAATTATTATTCGACGATAGTATTCCGGGGGTCTGCTGATAAATTTGACCCCAGCGCATACGAGAATCGTAAAAATTAATCCTAACACTTTGGCGTTGTAGCTGCACCGTCATCCTGCCTCCACCATACAACTCGTCACGTAAAATGTTAGATATTTACATTATTTACAAAACGAACGCCCTTTATATTATTTTACTGGTGCTCTCACACTCGTTTTTGGCCGTAGACGAAAATATAAATTGTTCGGACATACATTCTATCTATACGTTGTATGTTGTACACGAATACACGCACATACACTCCAGTACATAGAGGTAGTAAGAATGTATAATACAATGTGATCATAACAATACATATTTCGGTCGGTTAGAATTTTGGATTAAAATTTTGTTTTTAGAAGGTAATAGGGAGTACAGAAATACACTTATAAGAATACATTTAAAATGTTTAATACTAAATTTGAATAGTCATATTTATTTTATTTTATTATAACGACTTTGGTTAAAATAATTATTTTTCTGTTTCGAAAATTATTTGAGATACAGCTATTATGTAAAGTTTATTAAAAAAATTAAAGCTAATAATAAATTATAAATGGAAAAATTATACTTTTTAATAAACTTTAAAATGAAAATGGCTGTATATCGAGTAATTTGTTGGGTAGAAAAAATAACACAGCTTAGTGAAAGTTGCTTTAAAAATATAGAAGTATTCGAATCCGGTGTTAAAAAAGGCGTTTTTATAAGTTTTATCGCGCACTGAAAGGTTTAATAATTCGAAAAATATAATAAACGTGTGTTTTAGCACTATTTGTTGCCTTCCAAATATCGAAATTAAATCGAAGGTCACTCAGCCAAAATATTTAGTATTACCTAAAAATATAATCGTACCATAGGTATAGTATCGTACCTATATATTTACCATATTTCGGAAAGGATGATGGTAACTGGTGGTTATATATGATGGTGTGTCCACTAACGAGAAAAGGCTGGGCAGACGTTCTCGGTTGATAGAAGCTAATCAAGACGACCCCTTATGCGCATAATTGGAAAGGTACTATGGTGACCGGGTGAGTGGTGGCTGGGGGGGTACAGCGAAGGGGTCTTTTTGCCACCGCATCGCCGCCACTGTTGGTAATAATATTTCTGCTGGGAATTTTCGCAAACTGCTTTCGCCAGTAGCCCTGCAACCCTCATTACAGAACGCATAATGTATAATAATAATAATAATAATATACAAACGCGACTAATATAAAAAAGTGATGCTTTAATATAATTTAATGATAATATCGTATGTAATTAACGTTTAAATCCGTGTTGGTAAACTATTTTGGTTTCAAGGAGAAGGTCTTTGGACATTTTTGTGTAGTTGTTAATACAAACAAATTAAGTTTTGAAAATGCATACACTTATTTTGAAAATATGTACACCTGTAATTTAGACAAAAAAATAAAAGGAAAACAATCATACAACAAAAAAATTCTAAAATTGACTTAAGTCTTTCTTCTTTAGGACTGAAGATATATTCAGAAAACCGCCAATACGGCTAACTTTTGTTACTATTAAAATTTAAAACTCCGAAGAATGATGCCATCTTTTGAAAATACATTAAAACATTGTTAATTAAATTTCACCCGCTGGCCGTCAAAAATATATATTATTTTTAAGTGGTGGGAATTATTCATTATCCTGTTCTATTAAAATGGTGCGAGTAATTATGGGACACTGCTATAGTTTCTTATTATTATGTTTAATAACAGTTTTTATAATCGTCGTATATATTTTATGCCGAATGTGTATGAATTCGTTAATAAGGACTGTGTTATAAATCTAAAATCGTCATTTTGTATTTCTATTTCTATTTGGATACTGAGCGAAATGAAGCTGTTGTTTATTATAGTCAATGACGTATGCTTTTTTGGATTCCAAACGAAGTGAGGAATGTATTGGTTTTACTGTGATATGTGAGTTTTTTCTTCTATCTGTAAACAACTTTTCTACTAAAAATCTTACTACGATTTTCAAATGTAGCATCTGTTTTGATAATTTGTTTAGTTAGAATACATTTTAATTGTCATTTTTGGTTTTCTTTGTAGTTGTTTTAATTGGATAAAACAAGTAAATTTACATATTAATGGTTTCCATTATTTTCGATTTTTGTTTTTTGCTGTAATTTAGTTTAAAATAATTTAGACGTTCAATTTTAAAAACATTTTGTCAATTTTTGAATTATTTATAAACTATTTGAAATTATCAAGCTTTTTGAGTTATTATTTGGATAAAATTGTTTTGGCCTCTAATAAAAAAAAATACAAATAATTGCATTTTTCGTTAAGTATTGTTGACTTTTTAATTGTAAATGTTACAAATTTGTTATTAGTAATTGTTAACTATTTGTAAAAAACACGAGTTGTGCCCTTAAATTTAAAATTCAATTATCTTTACATTAATCGTTTTTCGACCGTAATAATACTAATGATTAATACTTATAGTATTAATATTTGAATTTAAAATAATAAAACCATACATCATTATTCTTTGCCAATTTATGTTCTCTATTTCGTAATATTAGTTTATCTAATATCTGTATAATTTGTATGCAGTTAATATTTTATAATATTTTGTGGTCCATGGGCCTGATAAAAATTTATTTATATTTAAAAAAAAATAATGTTGCTTATTATTTTTGTATAGATATCTAATTTAATTTCGGTGAATATAAAAGCGCCTTAAAAGTTCTTCTTATGAAATAACTAACATTTTTGAGAAAAAAAAAATAAAAAAAATAATTGTTTAACGAATGACTCCTTTCAGAATTTATAATTTCGTCTATCAATTTTATTGTTATTTTATATTTTAATAATACGTCTAATAAGTCTTAATCTTATTCAGTTTAAAATTTAAATTGTTTTGTTTATAAACATTATGAAAAATATTATTTTTTTGTGAATCCACTACAATGTAATATTAATAATTATAAAAGGTATGTACTATAATAATTTTATTATAAAATCAATACCATAAAAGAAAATTGTCTAAAATACAGAATATACTTTTTGTGGAATTTTCCCCGAAAATGGAACTTATAGTACTGTGTTGTTTATGTTATATACTCGTACATATATATATATATATATATATATTTTTCCCACTAATTTCTGAAATTTCAAGTCTTTCATTCTAGATCAGATTATCCTAAACTTGGGAATTAGAGTTTTTTTAGCTATATTAAGGTGATACAAATTGGGCTGAATTTCGATATGAATTTAACTATGTTGTTGTGACTTGATGGTGTATTTTAACTTTGTATATTTCTATAGGACTCTTTAAACTATACTAGGGGATACAAATTTGTATATTCATGACGTTCGTGTCAAGCAACTTTAAGTTCTTTGGGGATTTCAACTTTCAATGATTACTAAATTCACTTTTATGATCAAATATCTTAGTTTTTTTGTTTAAGTTTCTACCTATAGTATAATTTATTGTGTACAGTAGGTATAGTGTTGTTTTATAGTATTTTTTTTATTTATTGTTTTGAAAAGTTTTATAACATAAAGTAAGAGGAGGGAAATCAGATTCTAGTGAACAAGCTCTGCTGTTTACGGGTATTTTATATCTATGTGTTTGCTTATTCTAATAAATATATTTCCAGCTTATTGATTTAAATAAATATATATGGTACTGATTTTGCTTAAAATTTACTCGTTATTATATTATTTAAGTTTATTCCGGAACCGCTTGATTGACTTTTATGTAATTCGGGTAGTTTGATGTAAGATTGAATGTAATATTCTTATCAAGTTAAAAGTTAACCCATTTGCATTAAAATCAAAATTACGCATTATTATAATAATAATTCCTTGTCTGCGGTTATTGTGTATTGCACGTGCTTTTCATCAAAAGAATTTTTATTTCCATCCTAAAGGTTAATGACACTTGTATAAACTCAGTCGAACGCAATCCCGAAGTGCCCTCTATCCTTCTCGTCATTTCTCTCCGGTTTATCCTGTATAGACGTGTGAAAATTTAAACACATCGTCTCCACCTCGGTAAGAGTATTATAATTATAAATTATTATTATTATTATTATTATTACGGAGAAGTCGAGAGCCAGTTAAAAGCCACTTGTGCAAAAGTTTTTGGAACACCTTATGGCGCCGTATAACCATCCGACCGAGTCGACAATTTGTCCGGTGCGCACCTGCTGGCACGTTAAAAAATAATATACGAATATTCATAACTGTATTTATATCTTTTGCGACCCGGCGGTGGCGCCAGTGCCTTTAGCCGTGTGTATTGCTGACGTAATGTGCTTTAGTCGCATAATTCGAGGATCGGCTATGTATACCCATTCACTGGTATAATCGAGAAAACCCATTAGGTCGCATGACCTAGACAGGTTAAACATAACTCTTGAGATGTAAAAATTCGCATTTTCAATGGGACTCGAGCGGGAAAAAAAGCATTCATTAATTTTTTTTTTAGTTCTCTAAAACATTAACATTTCGAATGGATTGACATCATCGTTCTAAAAAAAAAGAGGTCTTCATTTTTATATTTCGAGACAATGAAACGCTGTGCATGTTTTTTTTTTTTTTTTTAGGTTAAAATGGCGTCCAAAAAAATGTCGTTTGAATTGTTTGAGAATACTCCTTGATTTTTTTTTTTAATTTTTATTATCAACATGCACAAAACAGATTGCTTTGAAAAGTAACGAAAAAGAAAAAGTTTATCCATTAATCCAGCTTATTAAGCACGAAATAACTACGAATTTCATTGGCACCCCGTTGGTCGAACAGATGAAAAAAATAAAATAAATTTATTAGATTCGTTTGGCGAAAAATAACGGCCGGGAATTTGGGTATAGAATTAATTGGTTTTATTGCAAAAAGTTCCTGTTAAACGATTTTTCGAACACCAATGCAGTGACGTACAATAATTCTTTCCCTGTTCGAAAATTGTCGAGGGTTCAAAAAGACCCTCTTATTTATATACGTATAATATAGATATATATTTATACATATATCTTATAAAAATAAATCCATTTTTATACATACCTACTACAGGGGGGAGGGAGGGGGGTTAATCGTAAATTTACGGCAACAATAGTAAATGAATAACCGACAAGTAAAAAACCCTTTGAAATAAAGGTCGCTTACCGCTATCATATTTTTTCGCTTTATAGTTTCTAGTGCACATTCCTGCGGCGGCCACAATAATACGCGCACACTACATTACCGCCCCAGATGCCCTTTTTGAGCGCAAAGGTTTCGCCGTGTGAATGATGTAACATTCACGGTCCCGAGGCGAAACGAAGGAACATCGCCCGCTCCGCTGTGCGGCACTTTCCCGTTATCATCGTTACTACTCGTCGGCGTGTTATCCTGGAATCCGGGCCGTTAATTTATTAAACGGGATAAAGTCGGCCACCAACATAAATAACGCGTGCGCGTCCTCCTTACTCTCTCCCCTCTCTAAACATTTTGCTCGAGCCGCACACTGCCCACTTGCTCACTTGTCCTACCTACTTATATTATGCATACATATACGTGATATACCTACACATATTACAGGTATTTAAACGAACAGGTTGATAGGATGACACGACTGTTTTTGCCCCCGTCCGTCTTCCGCGTGATGTCCTTTTTGCGCTGGTCCGTCTATCACGCACCGCCACCGCCGTAATAGAATTTACGACTGTAGGAACAATGCACCTGTATATTATATTATTATAAAAGAGAGGAGAGACTATTTTAATGTTGTACCGAAATGGCGACAGCGACATGCCCACCACCGCCGTATATATACGCAAAGAACAAAATGAACACCGCCGCTGCCGCCGCCGCCCGTATAGATTCCGCTTCCTCTGGGGAAATTTGGCGTTTTCGCTACGCCCTCCCTTGGCCCGCGCAGCACTGGAACTCGTTTTATTGTTCTCCTCTGTCCCGAATGAATTAGGAATGTGAACGGAATTTTTCTACTCGGTTTAACATCCCTTCAAAATCCATTCACTTTCCGACGACTTGGGTATTTTTAACCACATATTATTATATTATATACGCACGTTGAGCAAACTATGCCAATACACGCACGTATTACCTATAATAATACTCGGTATATTTAAATGATTTTTTTAAATTTAATAACTTTTATCCAACATTTGTGAGAAACAATATATATATAGTGGCACTTTGCAAATTTGTATTCTATTTAACATTAAAATAACCAAATATTATAGATTGTTAAAAAAATGTTCATTTTTTTTTCTTGTGTGAACAGCAGTCGTCAAACTAGAGTATGCACATTGTTATCAGCTAGTTTAATTACATGATTTACTGGACTAACGGCGTCTTTAACAATGTCTTTGACTAATAATTGGTAACGCTGTTTGTTCTCAAGCAAAGTTGCCACTGTTATCACATTAAATGAATGCCGATAATCGGATTCAATCGACTAGTTTAAAAATTATTGTTTGCATTTACGAATAAAAATAATCGCCTCTTTGAGTTAGGTATACTGTTAATCGATTTGAGTTAATTTCCAAGCAAAAAAAAAAATTGATCACAACGTTCCTATTTATTATTGTTTATAATTAATAAATATCATTATTTTAGAAATTAACTAAATTTACTATATATTTTTTTTTTAAACATTTATCTAAATTATTTAGATTTGTATTATAATCTAATAATCTAAAATCAATATGATGGATGTTATGTTTATATTCCTTAGGCACGTACTTAACTTAAATATTATTTTTATTTGTTTGTTTATTTTCTTAAATAATTACAAATTAAAAATGTTGGTTTTGTTTGTTGTTAAAAATGTTATAATCGACGTATATTTTTGGTAAATATTCGAATCGTAGATAAACAATAATAATTGTAACCGTTAAAAATTGAAATTTATTTTACTGAGAATAAAAAAAAAAAATTAAAAGAGAATAAAAATTTACGAGATCATAAAAAACCGAAACACCCCTTTTTGTTAAATTAAAATAAATGTTTTTATGAAGAATGTATCTTTATTAAACGACTTAAGCCATTTGTGTCGTAGCTCAATTTTTAACAATCGGCCTGGTCATATTACTCTACAGAACCTAACCCTTTTTATATCTCTTCTAAGTTTTTTTTTCTTCCAAAAAATTGGATTTTTATAAAACGTTAACAAAGAATAATAGCAACAATGTAGTGTATTATTGCTTAAGATTTATTTTAAAATTAAATTATGTACAATTTTAAATTTAAAAAAATAATATAATATTGAAGTTTTACAGTTCATTATATCAGTTATAAAATAAATTAATTTTGACAAAATGTAAAACATTTTAAATAGCTATTGCTATAATAATAATCATAAAAAATGATGTAAAATCAAAATTAATAAAAAAAAATAGTAGATAGACAGTGATATGACGTCTATCGCAATTCGTTCTTTTTGAGTTATAGTATTAAGCAAACTATTGTTTTAGGTTAGACTCGTTAAATCTTGAAACAATTTTTAAAAATTATTGTTTTAACGTTTACTTAGATTTATTTCAATGGTTTTAAGCTAGAATGTATTGCCATATGTGTTTTTAGATTCTGATTGAAGTGCAAAATGTATTGATTTTACTCTGATGTGTGCTTATTTATTTATTTATCTATTCTTTTTAAATTTTTCTGTCTGTGAGCAACTTTTGTATCAAAAATCTAGTTCCAATCAAAAAAAGAAAAACTACCTTTTTGTTGAATTTGAATCGCATTGAATTGCATTGAAGAGGTAATTTTTTGAATTTCCAAGTTGTTTTAACAGTTATTTGGAAAAACCGAGAAAAAAGTGTAGGAATATGAACAAATATTTATGGCTTATTTAATGATTTAATAATTTTAAATTGTTAATGAGTTTTGTTTTCTACCAGAAATCTTGCTTTGAATTTAAAAAGTAGTTTATTTTCTAAAAATAAATGTTTCTAGTTAGTGATTATTAATTACCGAATCATTGACTAAGAAATTCATAATAATTGGGAAAAAACGTAGATACTTTCCCACGTTAACGCTTCCATTGTTTTTAAATTTTCGATTTTGTTTTGTGTAGAAATTCAGTTAAAAATAATTATAGAAATACTTATATTAGCTTTTTATTGACGTGGTAAAATGTTAAAAACATTCTAACGGTTTTTGAACTGTTTATTAAAAATTAGATATTTCTAGTTTTTTTTTAGTTTTTAGTTAATGTAATGTAGATATAATTGTTTAGCCAAAAAAAATGTTTAAAAAATTGTAAAAATTACATAACGGTATTTTAGAACATTTATAATGATACTTCGCTCAGAATCATTTTTCTTTGGTTATAGTTTATCTCTGGGTATAGATAAAAATTAAATAACTTTATGTATTCTAATTTCCCAACTTTTTTTTACATATTTTATTGTCAAGATATTGCATTGGAATATTCCTTTAACTGATAAATGTCCTTTTTAATATACTCTTTGTGTTTAATTCTTATATTCATACATTTTAATTTAGTCGTGTACTTTTTTCCAATAATGTTTATTATTTAAAAAAAAAAACATTTTCTAAAACAAAACAAAAAATCCGTACAGATAACAGATTTACACTTTGTTTAGAAGTTAAAATGGCATAATATTTTTAACGTTAAAAGTTATAATCACTTAAATAAAGACGTTTTTTTTTTTTTTAGATTTATTTATTTAAAATTCGATTTATATATTTATGCATTTCAATTACAAGAAAATTACAAAATGTGTTATAATTATTTGAGGTTTTCAAATATCCGATTGTAAATATAGTTTTAACTGCTCATCGATTGATTAAAAATCAATTTCGTATATTGCTTTCGAGTGCCTACTTAAACTCACACAGATATTCGTTTTCCGGATTTATATACATTCTTCGATATAAAGAAATAATTTTCATCGATGTACTTCTGGAAGTAATATCCTTTGGAGCATCAGAATATCGGCCGTTTGGTACGATAATAATAAGAAACAATAGTTTAAACGCAATGCAAAATATCCTCCACATCATCGTAATAAAATGCAGTGTTTGTTTCATTCACAGTTCGCATTATTCTGTACTATAAAAGAATATAAATAATACGGGGTCATCCATATGGGCATTACACTGCAGGTTATACATGAGAAATAACATTTTATATGGGATCCGGAGTGCACCTGTTCGTTTTTCATAATAATAATACATATAAGTAATACACAAAAACCGTATTCTCCCTTTCTTGCGTTATTATTACCATGTCGGTTTTCTGATTACTTTAACTATACTGTCTTAGTATTACAACACTATATACAATAATAATAATAAAAATACATACTGTTACTGTATGTACGTTAAATAACTCCCAGAGAAAAATTACTAAAAAAAAAAACTGCTGATGAGTGTATCGCTGTTTATGGAGGAATGTTGGATGGATAGATACAGAGAGTAATTTAAATTATATTTGCATGCCACGATAAATTATTGCTAACGAAAAACAACTCTGAGTGTTATATTTTGATTTTAAAATGATGTTATACCCGCATCTACTTATCCATCATTCCAACTATCGGGTAAAATGCAAAAACAATAATACTTACGCAGAATAAGTAAAACTAACTTAATTTTAATTTTAGAGTGAAAGTACCAATTATAAAATTTATTGAGAACAATATTTTGAAGGAAATTTCTTTAGGTTTTTGTATTATTCAAAATATACAGCTTAATGTAAAAAAAATACAAAAATCTTTTCTTTTTTTTAATAACTGTAACTTTTTTTAATAGTTCGTAATTCAAAAAACACCTATGACATTCCTTCCAAAATGTGTGTATAAATTTCATGTTAGGTACTTTTACTCTATAACATCAAAATTAAGCTAGTTTTAATTATTTTCCTTAAACATTGTTTTTTCATATTACCTGGTAGGGTAGTTCGATTGAGACAGTAGATGCGGTTTTGTTGGTTCTCAAAACAATAAAGATTACCATTTGTGTTGATTTATTAAAAAAATCAAAAAATGGCTTCCCCAATGTACCATCTAGAACTATACCTAATACTACAAGTAAGTTATTTTTACAAAGTTTTTTGCTAGAGTAAGATTTTTGGTAGAATAGTTGTTTACAAATCACTTTGCTCAGAATCTAAAACTAGATAGAAAATCGTATACGGTTACTGTACATTATTTTCTTCTTTTACATTCTGTTTATATTTAAACTCGTCGGGGAAGATCAATTATTCAGAGTTGTATATTATTATATTATATTATGCGGTACTGTACGATAAGGGGCCGAAAAAGCGGTAAAAGTTGAAAAATTAATCCCCGGGGGTCGGGTTTGAACTAACGCACACCGCGTTACAACGGCAGCTAAAAGAATATTCGTTGCTAGTATACGTAGTCGGCTGTTTTTTATTCAATATTTTCAAAGCCGAAAACTTTTTTTTGTTTGCCTCGTGTACATCATAGATCATACGTATACAGTAGTTTTAGCGGGGTTTTTGTTCGCGGTTTTTGCCTGATACGGGGTGCGTGGGGTTTCCGAAAAATTAGAAGTCGTTTGTTTAGATGTCGCCACGATAACGGTGGCGGTGGTGGCATTTTATCTTTCCGCGGCCGTTGAATATCTGCAAGGGGTGAGAGCTGCGTATACCTACCCCATATTAAAGCTTGCAGGCCGAGCGTAACCCGTGACAATAGAATTATGTGCGTGTGTAGACATTTTAAAGAGTCGGAGCAACAATGAGTGTTTAAAGTAGGCGGATAACACACCGTGACCACGGCTAGAGGTGTAGAAAAAAAAATAAATGTGCACAAGCGGCGCAAGGTCTTGGTGATAAATGACTTGTGTAAATAACGTGGACGTGTCGTTGTCAGACGGGGCCTCCGCAATGAGTGTTTTCCGAAACTGTTAAATAATAATAATTATAAATAAAGATTGGCCGTCACGATTTATTATTAGAAAAGAAATCATTATGATCTTTTTGGGAAAAATAAAATAAAAATATTTTTACGAATTATTTCGTATCGTAGTTCATTTGAAAATTTTTATATATTCTTTATTATTATATTATAATATTAACCATCGCATATTTTTCATTGTTAATTTGTATTTTTACAATAGGTATTCGTAATATGTATACTATACATATTAATATACATATAATATTATTATTATTATTATTATTAAATATATATTATTATAATAATATTAATTAATACTATACATATTATACATATTGTTTACATTGTATACTGGCGTCTGGCAGTGTAGACATTTATTTTATTTCTTTTTTCATGGTATATCATACCTGCAGATATTATATTTATTTATTTCAGTATTAAAATAAATTGCGAATTTTTTTTTCATAATCAACCGAATTTTTAAGTACCTATAATATATTTCTCCGACAACAAAGACAATTTACTTATTTAAAACTATTCATACCACTTTATTATTATTATTTTTTTTTTCTTAAATAAGCTGACGTACCTTAAAAACCTATATAGAATTTTGGTATTCTAATTTTTCATAATTATTATTTATTTATGTATATATGATAGGTTATATTTACATAATAAAAAACATGAGAAATAATTATAAACCATACACACAAAATTTAAAATTTTTAAAAGAACAGAATTGAAAAGTATGTAGTAAAGTGGAACTCAGTAGACCGTAGTCAGGGTAACATTTTATTAGAGGGAGCTAGGGGTACTCGTGTTCTCGGGACCCATGATTTGACTTAGCCACGTACGTTTTACTTTTATATAAAATACAAAAATTATTCTGAAATATAAATTAATGTTTTATATTTTAAATAAATAATAATGAAGTATTACTTATTAAACTCGTGTAATTATTTTTTAAATTGAGTGAAATGTGATTATCATTTTGATGTCTTAACTATTTCATATTTGGTACATTGATTGCTGTTTAAAATTTTACCCACATGTACTTTGTTGCGTGAAACAGAGTTTTATTTAAAATTGTCAGTCGTTCAAGCAATTGTTGTTTTATTGTGTTTTTATACTTAGAGACTACTATCCCTTTTTGTCTCAAAATAGTTTTATAATTATTATAGGTCTATCAATTATTTCTTTTGAAGCTATACAAACTTAAAAACTGTAAAAACTTACTTTAATATAATATAAGAGTATTATGGTGAATTTGTTCCATAAATAACAATATAATGGCTAAAACTATGTTTAAATGGTTGCGAATATAGACTGCAATAAAGGGATTGTCTGCGTTACATGAGTTCTCCGTATAAACATCTTATAAACCGATCATGGACTAATAAACAAAACAAATCTCGTATTGTTGTCATCGATACTTACTCGAATATGACCAACACCCCTCGACCGGCTGAACCAAATGTGACTGATTAATTTTCCTTTCGACTGTCGCTCTCCCCTTTCAATGTATTATTAGCATTGTGCTAGACTTTCGCCTTCTCTTCTTCCCTTCTTTCTTTGCCTACGAATTGGCCATCCCTTCGATTCACTCTACTTTGTGTTCGTTTATTTATTAGTTTAAAAACCTTCTTTAGAATTTTTTCGATATCGTATATATTCGTCGTATTTTCCGTTTTAACTTAGTTATATATCTACTTGTACTTGTCCCTTCAACTTTGCACTGCGACCGCCGCCGAATCTTCAAACTTGATTACACTCTCTTCGCAAAGTTTTGAACGGTTGTGTCAACACGGATTTCCTTCTCCTCTCCAAACGAAATCAAAATGAAACGTGTGTATGTATAATACATTTTTACAACAAGGTTAGTTCCGTACATCTTCCACTCTGTACCCAAAAATAAAGTTTCTTCTTTAAAAACTATGCCTATAGTATTTTAATAATATCGTTTTATTATATTTTTACAACCTTGAATAAATTATCGAATAAATTAAATTTCCTTCGTAAATAAAAAAAAAACACTATTAAAAAAAATATATAAATACATCGAAAAAATATTCTTCGTTATTTTTCTGTTTTTTATTTAGATCTTTTCAAATTCATAAAACCTTATACGCAAGGTTCTATAAAAGAAAAAAAATAGTACACGGAAATTATAATAATAATGATAATAAAATATTTTCAGCATTTTATTTTTACAATAGGATTTTGTATTTTTATTTTAACAGGCCTAACCAGTATTACAAAAGTTGTTTTATAAACTTATAATTCTACAATCTAAATCTGTTTTATATATTCTGTAGTTGTATTACAATATTATATGAGCAGAATTTACAATCTGTCTTGGATAACAAATTTTAAACATCGGTATAACTGATCTTACATTTTTCTATTTTATTAATATTGTAATTTATATACAATTTAATAAACATTTACTAGTTTTTTTTATAATTGTTTAGACATATTAAATAACAAAGCTTTTTCTACTTATTATTTAAGTTGTATTATTTGATGTTTGTAAGCAACAGAAAATTCGCTTTGGTATATCAAGTGTAGCATATTTTCTAAAAGAAAATTTTATCTAGGTGGTGCATTTGAAGGTATTTTTTTGATTTTCCAAAGGGTTTTCAAAATATTTGGGTAAACCGGAAACAAAATTGTAGGTAAAATAGTAAATACTTACGGCGCGCCGTAGTGTTACCGATATCATTGTTTTTGTGAGCTTTCTTTCTAGTAGAAGTATTGCTTTTATTAAAATATGCCTAGAGATTTTTATCGTTGCATTATTAATCTTTTGGTGTATAAGAAAGTTGGTTTTTAATGCTCTGTTTTATTTTTATTTTAATAATTGAACAAAACCGAAAAAAGTAGAGAAAACAAGAAAGTTTATGCAAATACTGGTTTTAATATTTTCAATTTCGTTTTTTTTTTTTTTTTGTATTTCAGTTGAAAATATTTGAAAAGACTTATAATTTTGACAGAAAACTATATTTCCCTTCTCTAAACATGATCAAATTTTCAAATTATTTAGGCGATTTTTGAGTTGTTTTTTGGCATTTTATGTTTACAAGTTTTTATTTGGTAGCTACTATGTGAATATCTGTGGTTAACCTAAGAACAATTTTTGAAAATTGAAGGAGGTTCATTATAAATTGTACTTAGTGGTAAAAAAAAAAGTAGACTGTAATGTAGTAATTTTTTTTTATAACTATTATAATTTTAAAGTTTGAGGAAAATCGTAAATATTAAGGCTTTACAAATCATATGTAAACTAATTTCGCTCAAAATCATTTTTCGTTAGCAATGATATATTGTTATTTACAGATATAAATTAAAAAAATATGTTTTCTACCTTCCCAACTCCCGACCTACAATAATTGCGCATCCATTAGCAATTGGCTTGTTTTTTCTTTTGTTTTTTTTTTTTAATTTTTCGTATTCATGGATTTATTTTACTTATATTATGATGGCCATGTTAAGAATAAAACAAAACTGTTAAACGTTTCGCGGATATGGCTAGTACGAGGAGAATCAGAATTACGTGCTTTAGATACCACACGGTTTTCGAGTCTCCTTTTTTTTTTTTCTGAAACGTTCTTTGGTATTTTTTCTATTTTTTGTCACTGGGGAATCGTAAAAAGGATTTTCCATTGCTCTCTGATTTATTGTGTAAAGGTTTTCTGTGGTACAAAGCCCTTTCAATTTAAAAAAGGTCTTCCATAGGGATAAAAAATGGTACGGGGTAGGTACGCTTTAAAGTATTAATGGCGTCTATGATGCATTCCTATGCCACAAACTGATAAATTTATAAATGTTCAATATTGAGAATCTCGGTAATGGTGTCTTATTGTCTTTGTGAATATTATATCATTTTATCACTTACTCTACTGACTAAGTTAGAGTATATAGATTGTGTATATTTGTATGTGGTGCGATGGATAATGTATTTTTTTGTATTACTCAATTTCTCCATAATGATTATTTTTTTATGGTTTTTACACTCAGACTAAATAAAAAATAGCACTTAATAACAATCGTATGCAAGTTTCGACTAATTTGTTTCAATAAGTTCAGTTTATTTGAAAATTGTGGTGTGGTAATATTTTTAATCCCTGATAAACGTATGTCCATGTCTTGTGCAAAATCGGTTCTTTTATTATTCTGGTTACGAAAAAAAATATACTTACATATACTTAACCGTGCTCATTGGAAAGAGAGGTCCTGCAACAAAGCAAAAATATATAGTAGCTACAATGATAACGCTGCAGGGAAATTTACTATGGGACGTGACCCGTCGGACGACAACCCGATTTATAAACGATGTGATGTGTCTTGCCTTGTTCTAAAATTCGATTGTTCTTCTAGTCATGAATCCGATATTTGTCAAGTTGAAAAACGAGACTGTCTTTTCTCCTTTACGCCTTTTTTGCCTAGATTAACACGGAAATGGCGTTTCCCTTTGTAAAAGCAAATACCCGTTCGGTAAAAGCTAGCTGACCCTACTAGAGTACACATTATTTATTACTTGCTACTCGTATAATTTATTTGTATTTTATACACATTGAACTCATACAAATATATATTATATATTGTATATATATATCTGGTCCAAATGTATGATAATATAATATGTATTTATAGTTTTTATTTGTCCTTGTGTGTAATAGTTGGGAACAAAAATTCTATTCTAATTCAATTAAATGAAATGCACTAATTTATAAAAGGTAGTCTGCAGTACAAGTAATTGACCCCAAAACTTTAGGTCCGCTTTAGTGTTAATATTTTTTTTCAAACAAATTGATATAGTTTGAATAAATGTGAAGGGGACACAGTGAAATTCACAATGAATATGTTTTTTTTTTTCATTTTTTCACCGCACTAGGTAGGTACTTCGTCAGATTTCGCAGATAAATCCACTCCTGTTTCTGAATTTTTCAAAAGACTAAGAGATTTTTTTTTCTTTAATGAAAATCCAAGAGCTCTACTGTACGGTATCGTTTCATTATCCGGATACAAAAGAAAAGAGCGACTAGGCCACTTGACCGCGCATAGACCGTGTGCAACGATATTACATTTTAACCGATTGGTGGAGGCCTTACAAATATTACATATTATTATGTATTAATAAGATTTCTTGTATTTCTCCAACGATCACCAATAGTTTGTTATCGCAATGTCTATGTTGCGATATTATTTTATCAACCTTTCCTGTTGATTGCAGTTTTGGCCTTTATTGTTTAAATTAGATTTTACATTAGATTTAATTTTAGATTTTGAGTGATTAGATATTGAATGAAGATAGTTGTAGAAGGAATTTTTAGAAATTTACCAATGCTTCAGAAAACGCTCGCACGAATTACTGTGTACCAAAACTGGATAGTTGAAAATATTTACCAGTTTTATTCAGTACGTTTATTGTTTTAAAAAAATTTTGATTTTTGTCTGTGATTAATAAAAATATAATAATATAGCAAACGACGAACGACGTATCTAAACTAAAAACAGTACAGCTTTGTTATTCGGCGAGGGTGTTATTACAACTTTTAATGGGGTTCTCGTTCCGACCTTGTTTCTATCTCTCTCTTTTTTGCTTTATATATATTATTATACACATATATACATAGACTGGAATTCAAGTTAATATCGGCGACGAGCGGTGGATAAACCCCGGTCCGAACTTGCAGGGGCCCCTAAAAACTTTTGTGCTGATGACTGTGTGTTATAGAAGTCGCCGACGCCGTTTATTGCTGCCAGACTGAAAATATCCACTTAATTTCAACGAGGTCCCTTCTTTCTCACAGCGTCCTTTCCCAAGAAAAGGTCCCATTTTTCCGGAAACAGTGCGGATTTATGTTTATTTTTGTTGTTGTTTGTTAATAGGTACAATATGCTACAGAAGTGCTTGGTTTTAGAGTCTTCTGACATTTTTTTTTCGGTTGATTCTTTCACAGTTATAATATATTATATAAAAGAAAAAAAAAACATTAGCGATTATATAAACTTTATATTTAATGGTAAAATATTTTATTTTTTAGCTTGCCCTTTAATATCAAATTCTATAAAAACTATTGATATGTTTACATATATCTAGGAAATCACTATATTTATCATTCATCTCAATTTATGCGTTTCTTTTTGATGGATTAAAGAATATATTTTACTTTTCGTATGGAGTTTTATTTTAAACTTTTAAATTATTCTATGCGTTTGTTGATAACATTATCATCACAAACAGTATATTTATTTTTATGCTTGATAAATAGTATTCTTTTCTACTTTTTTTTTTTTTTTTATAAAAAAACATAATAATCATGACGTTTTCAAAGAAGCCCACACATCTATTCGTTATCTTTATCTAAATACATTCAGCATAGTAAGTTATTTTTTTATTTAAAATAATTTAATTTTATATTATTTGTGAACGTAAAATATCTTATTATCTTATGATACACCTTGAGATAAAAAAGTTATCCGTAACATGTTTTAACTTCTTATTAATTTTAAATGTTTATTTTTCGAAAATGTTTGAATTTAAGACTGTTGTTTCGTTTAATTGTTAAATTCAATTTAATAAAATACTCACTAGAAAAAAATTTCTAATTATAGAAAAACAAAACAACTAAGTTTAAATATTGGAATGATGTGTATAAAAAAATTTACAAAACATGCGTTAAAAAAACGTTTGGATCTAATTCCTTTAATTTTTTTTTTTAGATTCTGAGTGAAGCAAGGAATTAATTTTTTCATTTTTATTATTCAGTTTGAATAAGTAGCAAAAAAAATAGTTTAACCGTTATATTTTATTGAAGACTTGATGCATATGATGTTTAAGGGCATTGCAATATTTGAAAAGTCAACAAAAAACAAAAAATAAATATTTACATTTACTGATTTATCTAAATACCAATACAACAATTGTAGATAGTTGTTTTGTAATATAATATTTTTTTCTTTTTTATGTACATAAGTAGAATAATTCAATTTAATTTTAGAAAAACTGTTTTGTTTATTTTTTTTTATATACAACAATATCCTTTTGAACGAAAAAACGGAAAATATAATTATTTTACATTTTATTAATATACAGTTTTTTTAAATTTTAGTTTTAAAAAAATGTTGGTTAATTTTTGATATTGCGTTATATAAATGCTTTAAAAGACTTGTAAATGTATTGTATGTAAATATTAACTTTTCAATATTGTTTGATATTAATTATTTTGAAATATATTGTGGTTTATAAATAATAATGTATGGTTATAGTTTAAGTGCAGAAATCAACAACTCCCATAGCGAATATTATAATTAAACGTATTATTTGTAATAGATAACCAAAATCACGATAATAATATTTTATAGACCGTATTACGCGATATTTTTATTTTAATTATAGAAAACATCACGTATAATATTATATTGTTTAATTTAAACAACATAATTTTTTTAATTTAAACAATATAACGAGTTTAAAGTTTTTCTTATAATAGTATTGCGTGTACAAAAAAAAAAGATTCTTTGATAAGATATTATTATTGTATTTGTTGTATAATACTAAAGTGATTAATTTTGTCCCTTTCCCGAATGTTGAGGTGTTTTTAAATTAAAATTGTTAGGTTTCTTTAATTAAGGAGGCTATATAGTACCTATCTACCGACCGAACCGATTAATAATTGAAAAACCAAGCAAACAAGTTTTTAAAAGTGTTAAAGTTAAAAATTAACTTAATCGGTTTGTGTAAATAAAAAAAAAAAAGTAATCACAAAATTATGTAAAAGTTGATATAAAATTAATCAAATTTGTTTATTACATCATCTTGATAACTTATACGTATAACTATATAAATATATATAGTTTTTTATTCCGCATTAGTCTAATTACTTTTACTTAGAATTGTGTATCAGACTTTTAATAAATTAACTTTATCATCTTTGCTGTATACTACTAAGAATTACTTTTATATATTTTTAATCACAAAAGTTTTTATGTGTGTCACATCTTAATAGTAACAATTCTAGTAATTCTAAGTTTTTTTTCTTTAATGTAGAATAATACTGCATTAATTTACTAATTTCAATACTTCAGGTAATTATCGGAATAATCTAGTTTTTTTAGATTCTTAAAGGAGTGAAGAATGTATTGGTTTTACAATATTTATTATTTTTATCTGTGAACAATTTTTCTACTAAAAATGTTGTTCCGATTTTCATGTGTAACATTTTCTGAAAAGAAATCTGACTGGAATAGTACTTTAATGACATCGTTTTTTGATTTTCCCAGTAGTTTTCTTAATAAATGGGAAAAAACGAAGGATAAACGGACATATGAACGAAATGTATTATTTTAAAATCGTAAATATTACGACCTTTTAAAATATGTTTTACCTAACTCCCCTCAGAATCGTTTTCCGTTAGTATTAATCGTTGCGTACTGATATAAATTAAATTTCTCTACTTTCTCAATCTCTCACTTACAACAGTGCCTCACCCGTCATGCAAAGTATGTCCGTTGGTTTTTTTTTTTATTTGGATACAAGATAATTTTCAATAATTTCTTGAAAGAGAAAGGAAATTGTGATTTTTGAGAATTTGTTTAACATAATTAATTATTATCAAAATATATAATATATCAAAAGTAAGTAACTCAAATTGGCCTGGGGGTAGTATTATCGTAATAATTTATACTACATTATTTTATGTTCATAATCGAAAAATGATTTATAGAAATCGAGCGGAAAATTTTAATTTAATCGCTTAATTTACATACCTATTATAAAAATTTAAATTTTTAAATTTTTAGCAATATTTTGCAGTTTATTTTAATCTAATCAATTAATCATCTATATATTTTCTCATGTAACGTATAAACGTATATGTGGTGTGTCCTAGTTTTCATTAACTTTGTAAATAGATTACCTATCTATAAAGTTAATTGGTACGTGAGAGTTTTTGAGCGTGTTTACTTAGGTACTGTTCTAAACAAGTTTCGTAACACGTATCGTAAAAAATATTAGTATATTTATATGTAATATATATATATCATATATGTTATCAGACCCGTAGCTAGGGCTTGGCGAATCTGTCCAAGCCAGAGAAGCAATAAGCTAGAATAAAATATTTTACATATACCACTATTTTTTTTTTTATTTACAATAATTATATTACTATTGCTTCGCTATAATATGTAGTGTATTGTGCACACATGCCGTAAAATGGGGAGACCCAGAGTAGATTTTAACATTTTCCTTAATATACTTTGAGCATATATTTGATAATGTATTTAAAATAATATATCATGATCTTTACCTATGTCTAAATCATATAACAGTAAAATAATTATTAAGTTCATTAATGTTCGTTGGTACTTATTTTTGAACCTTGAACTTTGTCCGGATTCACCTGCAAAATTCGGTTACTTCGAAAATTCGTTAGTTTCCACAGAAAATTGATTGTATACTACTACAGTTGTATTAGATTTTTGATTTTTAACTGGAAATAAATAATTTAATATGAAATCAGATGACCTCAATGGATTTAATTTGTATAATTTAATAAATAATTTTAAATTAGCTTTTCCTTTAGAGCTCCTAAAATGTATTCATAAGTATTATTTAAAAGACATTTAAATGATGATCTTAATATTTAAATTGTACTCGGGATATTTTTAATTATACCGGTAAAAACTGCAACTTATGAAACAAGTTTTAGTAAACTCAAAATTATTATGGACTATCTAAGGTCTACAATGTCATAAGAAAAATTGACACATATGGTTATTTTATTTATTAGACCTGAATTGGCTACAATAATCAACTTTGAAGATGTTGTAGATGATTTTTCAACAAAAAAGCACGATAAGTAAAATTTTGAAAATGTACAAAAGTATATTTTTTTTCTTTCAAATTATTATATAAGGTTATATAAGTTTAGTACTGTTTTATTTTCTTATTAAATATCATAATAATAATTATTATTACTAATTTAAACAATAAAAACATCTTTTATATGTGTGCATGTATAGATGAAAGAGAGGTTATTTTTTTTTTTTACTAGGACGGAAATATATTAAATGGCCAAGAGTGCTAATGAACCCTTTGAACTTTTGCTACAACTCTGTATGTTATAGATTTGAAGAGAGACATTTTGGGTTCAGTAGTCGTGTACTGTATTTTATTATAGTAAAATATAGTTACACATATTTATTTCAAAATATTTGACTTGACACCTTTTTAAAATCCTTTCTGACTATTCCTATATATTGAAATTCATGTACGTAAAAAGAATTTAGTTTTTTCCCACATTTTTTTTTGAAAAATATTTATTAATCGTTGGGTAATATATGTAGGACAGTAAGTACCATATTTATATTTATAAAACAAGCTTAACGTAAACGGCGTTCACTTCCAAGTACGCTATTTATTTTTTTTTTGCACATAAGTACAACGTAAATAAAAATAAAACGAGATCAACGATAAAAGTTGTTAGCCATGGAGCGGGTGGGTGGTACGGGTTGCGTATTAGAAAACATAACCGCAGGGGCGGCCATTTTTACCGGAAAATAATCATTTGAGCTGTTGAACTTTTCCTCTTCGTTCTCGCGTTTGCCCTGGTTTTGGCACATGAAAAATCGACATCTTGGCGGGACATTATAAACGGAAATTTTTCACCTAGACGTCAGAGCTATATAGGTCTGGGTCGAAAGTCATTTTTTCCCGTTCAACGACAACGGTGGTGTGGCGCATATACCGGTGCCTACATATCTGTGTCCACAACTATTTCTGCTGTAGCCCATACGAATAATAATAATAATCGTAACCCTCTTATCTTTTACTCTTTCTGTGCGATAATAACCGGATATAAACCCTTGAAATGACCTTTTCCGGTTACTAACAGATAGCGGTGTGCTATACTCTGTGACTGCACTGCATGATAACACTGTAAATATATTTTATTTTATAAGTGACTGTAAGTCTATATGAAGTATTGACAGACTGATAGACGTACTTACCTTTAAGATTATTGGTACTTCTGCGTTGTGAGATATTTACAAAGGTATAATTACGTACTTACGCAGTTGTATGATGAACGCTTATTTGAGAGATAATTATAAAGATTTGGGGTGGGTGCTTAGATTATAATTGAATGGGGATTTGATACAATGATTGAATGATTATTTATATTATAATAATATTGATAATTAATAACAACAACAATAATAATAATTGATTTTCCATCATGACATATTAAAAAAGTACGTTTATGTGAGTCGTTTATTATTATTAAGACTACTGCGCAGTCAGAAATCGTTGAACACCGTATAGTGAAACAGTTCATGTACACCTGTATTACGCAGTTGAATTCTATTATATTAGACGTCTATAAATTCCTTTTATTTTACGTACCTATGTGCAATAAATATTATAAATGTATATTTGATATTTCACGCAAGGCAGTTCCCTACTGGATTAGCAGACTACAATATTACATAGGCATACATGATATTTTACGCCGTATTATTTTTCTGCCGTTTATAATTTATATACTAGTGTACGTAATATAATATATATATTATATACATATAATTTTTATACAAATTTGTATGTATTTTTTTCATATTCTAACCGTTGTGTCATAAATCTATTCTCAGCGCTTTAGGCTGTATGTATTCATATATCTCTCGCATTGGATTCCCGTGAAACCTAAATATGCGTACTGCACTTGTAAATATAATATATAATACCAAAATCGAAAATATTCCAGTCGAAAAATATTTTTCCTGAAAATTATCGATTAAAGAATATTTTCATTTTGAACAAACAATATTATTATTCATGTGTTATTTGTTTACTTCTCGATCTAGGCAAATCTGCAACAAATCGAAGAGCATTTCAAAATTTTTGTAAAACTTTTCTTGTGAGGTAGTATAGAAGATTTTCGGAGTAATAACAATATATTTTGGCTAAGTCAACATTTGGCACTTACGCGAGCAGTGTTAGACAAATAAATTACATTTTGACACGGTCGCATTATCTATTTTTCAGGGTGTTAGGGATAATATGTGAGTGGTGCTTTATTATTATATTTTTATATCCTTTGTGACAGTTACACTTTTGTTTTCAACCAAGTGACAAATTTGTTTTAGTATGTAAGTGCGTCACTGAGTAGAGTTTGTCCATACTTTTAAACATGTTCGGTTTTAATTTTACGTTTGGACTTAATTTTAAAGAATAATTTCTTAAGAAAAATAATTTTAAAGGAAATAATTTTCGCATATTCGCATTTCTTTAAAAAATGCATGATTTTATTGTGTTTTAAAAGAATAATTTTTTTGCTCAAATATTGATTTTGAATTTTGTAGTTTTTATTGGATCACTTTTTGTGAATGACTCATTCGATAAAAAGTATACCAAGTGAAAAGTAATAAATTAACGCAGGAAATATTTTATTGCATCTAAATAAAGTGTACAATTAATTTTTTGACGTTCTCCGTGATTTGTTAGTTGAATGTTATATTATAATTAATAATTACCTTAAAATTAATGTTATTTAAGTAATCTTTGATTAATTATTATTGAAATATGTTTTGTTTTGTACTCGAGTTTTTTTATTTGTATGTACTTTTAACGATTTAATCTTGAATCTGGTTATCTCTAGAAAAAATGTTTGTAAATTTATTCATAGCATGTATACTTACTCTATTGGGATGTTAGGAAAATTGGATTCGGTTTGTAACCGAACGAAACAGTATATTATACAGTTGTGACACATAATACGTTTTTGTCGATTTATTTCGCATTTCACGTCGTGCGTATAATATAAAAGATCCAATAATAATTTATATATTATATTCATACAGTTTATTATTTTTTTTTTTTGAACTTAGACGAAACGCCCTTTATCCCCTCGTAAATCATATAACCCAAAAAATAAAAACAATGGATTTAATATGGTTGGACCGGCTAATAAATCGCTTTCGTTATACTTGTTTTATCGTCTCGACTTGAATCTATATATATATATATGGCGTGGTGGGTCCGGGAAATCTCTATTTTTAACGGAGTTTGACAGTTATTGGAGTCTTTCTCGAGTGATGGTACAGAGAGGATACTGTGAAAAAATAAATAACGCCCGGAAAATGAGTTGAGCATTCGAGTGTTCGTTGCAGCAGCGGGATTGGAAATCTCCGTCCAGTTCGTTTAATATCAATATGTGTGTGAGCGCGGGTGGAAAAAAGGGGGCGGGCGAACGTCTCTTCGTGCCTATATACCCGTCTATAACCTCCGTTCTAGGGGAACATTTAACATTCACCCTCGGTCCATGACGGTTATTTTTAATGACTTTTTCATTTATTTTATTTTATTTTTTACAGAACGGCGAACGTGGTTATTTGGAAGGCTTAGCGTCCCGATACGCGGATCTGTACAACACCCATTATCGGGATATTCTGGAGTATCTGGATGAACTTAGGGCTACCGAATGGGCCGAATTGTCTCCTCGAATCCGGTTGTTAGCGCCCTCGTCGCCATCCCGTTCGCCGTGCAACCTGGCTGGAAATCCGTATTCACATCATCTATACGCGCCCGGCAAATACTCTGTGAGTAGATCTATTTTTTATTTTATTTTATACTATACGGTATAATACCTAATCGTTGATTTGACTTAAAAAAAAAAAAAAACACAATATTATATTTTAAAACAAGGTGTACCATTTCTCTGGTAATAATATGTATTAATTATCATGAATTAAAGCAATAATAATAACAATAAATATGAATTTTACAAAACATATATAACACGGACTTACAGTTAAACAATATACAATATTCATAGTGGTAAAATAAATAACATTTAATCTTTAATGATTATAGTATTCATGTTTATTCTTCACTCGAGTTATTTTCAAAATTGTATAAAGACGCTAGAAGGAATTTTCTTTACGATGCGTAATATGATATAATGTAAATTATTCTCGATTATTATTAATAATACTCGATAGTATAATAATATTTGTTATAATAGTACGTAAAATATTAAGATTATCATAATTACTAGGAAAAAACGTGTCCGCTGACTAAAAGGAGAAAGTAAAACATCTTAGTAAAACCAATAGCTCCCTATCTACGCTCAGAATCTAAAAGAAAGCTGATACTTGGGACGGGTGCAGCAACTGTTGAAGGTGGGAAGTTAAGAAGTTAAAGTACATAAAGTTATTTAATTTATATCTGTACCTATGCAAAGATAAACCATTGCTAACGAAAACGATTCAGAGCAAAGTTCGGTAAGACATATTTTGAAATGCCGTCATTTTTACGATTTCTGTTCGAATTTGATCTTACAACGTTCATGATAAAAAATATGTATTAAACTCAAATTTAGTTTTTAGGCCTTTAAGTTCAACTTATAATGTTCCTTGTGTTATATTTTCAATCATTTTTCTTAAGTCATATAATTTTAATAACAGATACTTACCAAATAAAAATACATATTATATTAACACAAAAATATCAAATACTTATAAATAGCCTAAAAATAGCTAGAATATTTTGAACATTTTACCACGTATACAGAAGGCTAATATAAGTATTTTGTGAAAACTTCAGATCTCTACAATAATTTTTAATCAAAAAACCCAAATGCCGTACACTGCCATATTTCTTATGATTTTTCCCGTTTTTTCGTAACTATTGAGAATACTATATGGAAAATCAAACAACGGCTTTTTTTACTCACAAACTTGACAACATTTTCTTGAAATTCGGACAAAGATTTTTGGTAAGAATATATAATTTTAAAAATGATTGTGTTATATTACTGAACACCCAAGTACCACCTATTTTTTTTTTGTCAATCACATAATTTAAATGTACTGCTTCCGCCGCCATTTATGTAGATTATATTGTGACCAAATTAACAGTTTGTATGTTTAATTCTGCAGTCTATAATTCTATTTATTATAATTTAAAATATAGGTACCTTTATTTTATCGAACTATTGCATCATTGAAAAACTCGATCAAATTATCGTTTTAAATTGTATAATGTATAGATTTGAAAATCAAACGAAAAACGACCCTTATATATTATGTAATATGTAGAGTGTAGACGTATCGGTAACTCGGAACCGTTTCAATCAGTCGTTCTAGGCTCTTTTGAGTATAGTAGTTGTTGTTAAGTGAGTGGGACCCTTAGGGATTAGAGGGATGTTCAAAGGATTCGGTAAAACGTCGGTGCACGTAAGGAGCAGTAGGATGGGAATGGTGAGGAGAGGGTACGAAAAGATGAGGGTGGCTTCGTCCATTCTATTCAGTGTTGATTGGGAAACTTTTGTCTGTTCCGGCAACGGCGGCGGCATTACGTGCGTACGTGTTACGAAAATCTATGTGATGATGGTTATTATTATTATTATTATTATTATTATTACGGTGGAGTTTCTGTACTTATTTTTATTTTATTTATTTATTTTTCTTGTTTTACACAGCCGTCTAGCTGTCTGAGCGACCGAGAAGAAGACGAAATTTACGGTCTAACAACGGCTGAACGACGATTTCCACCGGCTCCCGCCGCTGTACGACCTCCCGTACATCTAACCTCGGCCATTAGACAACATGCCGTACAACAGCCGTGAGTACATACTTGACTTTACATTCCTATATAATACTGCAACTATTATTATTATTTGATCGTTTTGCACATACCTACCCAGCTATTCAAAATATATTAACGTGTATTTCGATGTATACCGCATTATTAAACAACACATTGACGTTTACTACACTACCCAGGCTACAACGGTTTCGCTCCTTAAACACATGTAAATTTAAACAGTCTCTCGTGTGTTTTAGGTTCGTTTTTATTATTACCATCATTATTAATTAGATATATTCGCATCATGATCATATATCTATTGATAATGATTATTGTTTAGTTTTAAATATGAATGGATTGAGTAGTGAGATAGATTTCAAAACTGGGTTTCATTTTCCTTACCTTTTGCCCAATAGTTTTTATATGAAAACGTTGCCTTTTCATAAACGCATTATAAAACATAAATGGTTTATTTTATATGTATACGTCAGTTATCAATTTAATATATACCTAAAAAATTGTGAGCAATATAATAAACTTGCCAAGACAAAACACAAATTAATTTTAAGATTTTAATTCCGAGTTCACCAAAAGTATAGTGTTGTATTGAATAAAATATTTATCATCGCTTTTAAACTTAGAATACTCTTATAATAATACGGGCTCATTGTACCACTATACTTCCTTCCGGTGTCATTGTAATAAGTTAAATGTACATTATAATGAGTCAACGAGTAAAATATTCGAAAAACCTACTTATGTCAATACTGTCCCAACAAATTATTTAGAAAAAAAATAAATAATTTTTTGAAGTTGGTAAATTTGGTATTTGGAAGAATAATACTATATTATTTAGGGTGATCAAAAAGTGTAAAATACTCATTATCTCGGAAAGTATTAACTTTTTTCTGGAGGTTTTGTTTACAAAATTTTTCAAGAAATAAGCAGAAAAATAAAATGTTACATTACTCGCTCCGCTCAGAATCTAAAATATGGTAAAAGTATATTGTTGGTGAATTCCGGTTACGGGCACTTCACGCTTAACTCACTTCGTTCACCTCAACGATGGATATTTTTGTATTCTTAATTATTATTTTGAATTTTAACGCTATATAATACTCAAAAGATGAATCTATGTGGAGTATAGAATTAACATTTTCATACTTGCCCGCTTGCATTTATTTTTCACAGTCTTTTTTTTCAGTTTTTCGCAATTTCCAAGGTGACCTTTTTAAAGTACCTTCTATGTTCAATTTTTCATTTCTTATATAGTTATAATAAGGCTGTATTATACCCATAACAATTGGTTCATATTATTTATTATTTATAACTCCAAAAAATATTTTCCTAGAGGTATTATAGAAATTGGTATTAATTTCGCTTTGTTTACATTGGCAAAGCAGAATTTTATTTTACTTTTATGTTTTTTACTACAATAAAAAAAAATAAGGTGATGCAATTGTAAATTTATAGTTTTTCGAATGTTTTTTATTTCTTTATTTTAGTGCGCCGAAAATTTAATAATCAACTACAAAATATCGAAATAGAGGACTGACTCTCTATAAATATAATAACAATTAACTTTATATTTTTAAAAAAAAAAAAATTATTTTAAACTAAATAACTATAACTCTTCTCATAGAATTTAAAATCTAGTTTTATTATTTTAAATTACTAAATGTAATCGATTATTTTATAAATTACAGATATTTTAGTTGATTTTTTTATACATTTAAATTAATTGCATTGTGATATTTTTCCACAAGTGTTTATTACACATCTGTTTTCGACTTTATCATTTACATTTCAATTATTTAGTATGCGTTAAATCATAAATAATGCACGATTTTGTTATTGAATTGGTAAAACTATAGAATATGACTAATTAAAACGTATTATTTGTAAAATGCCAATTACAATATTTAACATATTGACGACTAAAAACATTGCTAATAAAAACAGACGAAATAATTTAAACATTTTCGATATAGGTAGTAGATATTTCTACCGTAATATAAAAAAATTAAATAATAACCTTTAGAACCTTCATAATTATTCAATTCTATATCTATGTAAATTATTTTCGAAATACATTTCGCAACTGAATTTAAATACTTTTTAGAAACGTTTCTTATGATAAAAACTGTTGATAAAAGTATTTGCACGTTGGTGTTTAATCATTTTTATACACTTCAATTTAATGTAGCTTCTGCAGACTATTCTGAGAAGTTTTCCCTCTTCGGTCTTTCCTATTGTCAACGACTTAAACAAAATAAGTAGAGTAACTATTCATAAAATATGTAACGATTTTACATAATATATGCAAAATATACGTTTGTCTAGTAAATTTTGCTCTACCAGGCGTAATAAACAGATTTTAGAACATTTTGATTCAACGTTGCGTCCACGTAGTTACCAATATTATAGTGCTTTTGATACGGGATTTACATAATGAGCAGAGTCATGGAGGACGAGGAGAAGGTATAGACATAGAGGGGGTCGTTACAGTACATATAGAGGGGGTTTGTGCCAACGCTGGTATACAAACACGAATTATATGGTTGATTTATTGGGGGAAGGCCGCGGGAACATGTGGCGGGAAACCTTCGGATTACCTGGCGATAATCAAAGTCCGAGCTTCATTACTGCTGTGCCCCTCCCCCTTATTTTGTTACAGTTAAGCCTTTCAGACACGTTCGGCAAACAACCGCACGGAAAACGTCAAAATATAAACGGTTTAAGCGTGGCTCTTAGTCGAGGTTTTAGGGACACGCGGTGCATGGTAAGGGTATACCGTCGCAAATCATTGTATTTGCAGCAATGTGATAAAAACTAAATATTAAAAACAATATTTTACATCAAAATTTAAACGCATTTTTCCACTCGGCCGCAATGATATATGGTCGTCCTGAACGTTTCTCCAGCCCGGGGTCATGTCGGTCATGGAATTAACGAACCGTTTGTTACCATATATGAGTTCAGTGTGAAACTGTACAGCTTGTTGCAAATGCTGTTGTGCGGAATGATATATTCGGGAAACTGATGCACAGTGATGAAGCTGACCCATGCACCATTTTGTGGCTAATTTTGATGTTTTTGCGGAATAATTTTTCGAAATTTATAACCATTTATATAACCTTATTTTATACTTTGTATAAATAAAACCTTAGCGCTATGAATATTATTTCATTTTCCACTATAGGACGTCGAGTAATTTCGGCTTGCATAATAATATGAACGTTATTTTTAATCTGTATATATGTTTATTATTGGATTTTTTTTCTTCTGTTACTTTAGATGACTCATAAATATGTATTAAAAGTCGTGGCACTTCAAAATTGATTTAATTTTAATCTGTTTGTAGTTTATTTGCTTATCAAAATATATTCATTTATTTTTCATCCATTGACAAAACTATGTTATTTAAACTTCATAATAATTTATAAATCCTTGGAAATCATTGTGCTGTTTTAATCAATCGATTTATTTTCAATTTAATTAAATTAATAATATTTCCATTAAATTTTAATCCATAAATATCATTAACGAGTTAAAATGTTTTATATAGTATACAACGTTTTAGTAAAATCTGCAAATTGAAAGCTATTGGTATATTACTATAAAAGATTATAACAATTATTATTTTTTTTTTTTTTTTTTGCCAATAGCTACAAATAGTTTATCTATAAATAATTTTAAAAATTATAATAACATTTCAAGTTAAAATAGCTTAAGCACAAATATTTTTATAATGTATGCGTAGATCTTTGATTCCAGGGAAGGTTATAAAACAACAACTACATTGTGCTCAATTTTTTTTTTTGACCACCAAGTACAACTTTTGAACTCAGCCATTCGGTAGTACTTTAGCACTACAAGGAAATATTTTAGATCGAGCTGGTTCATATAAGTCATTTTTTGATTTACCTTCCATTTTTCATAATAATTGAGAAAAAACGTACGAGGGCTAATCAAAAAGTATCAAGACTGGTAGTATCATTCGGAAAAGGATCATCGAAGAGCAGTAGGATTGGTATCACTTGCTTCTATGACTTTTTCTGAGTACATTTGTTTTTATTGCTTCTCTATAAAATTCTTCGGTTTGATTTCACTGATATTTTTTTAAAATATATTTTTCGAGTTTGGCGATTTTGTAATAAACCCAAAAGAAGAGTAACTTGACAGATTTGGAGATTTTAGAAAATTTGTCTGCATTTTTTTCCAGTTTCAGAGGGATGCAACATTTCATGGTTTTTGCCATTAAATGTCAATTGAAAAACTGAAAATGTGCCCTCGAGTGGCAGCGAGTTCCGCTTCTTTTGGATTCATTACGAAATCGCCAAACGTGAAAAACAAATTTTAGAAAAATATCGTCAAATCAAAACGAAGAAGTTTATAGAGATTTTATACGAATAGATGTGCTCAGTATAAGTCATAGAAGCTAGATTTACAAATCGTTTTGCTCTTTAACACTCGGTTTCCGAGTAATATTATCAGTCTCGATACTTTTTGATTAGTCCTCGTATAGGAAAAACCGACAAATTTATTGCAATTCATTATTTTCAATTTTGTTTTGCTATCAGAAATCTTCCTCTAAATTTTAAATGCATCATCTTTTATGAAATAAAATTGTTTTGTTGATACAAGATGCTTAAAAGTTTTATACGAGATTCATCAAAAGTTATACTTGGTAGTCAAAAAAAGTTGAGCACAATGCAGTTGTCGTTTTATAATTTTTTTAAGTTAAAATTGTGAAGAAAATCGTAGATATCACTACATTTCAAAACATGTTTAAGTGAACTTTGTTCAGAATGATACTTCTATATATATATTGTAACTTAGTAACTTATCTAGTTTTATTTTTTAGATTTAGACCATATCGCATAAATGTTTGTAGTTTCAAAAATAGTGTTTGTTGTGTATACGTGGATTAGTTAAAGTACAAGTGCATGTGTTTTCAAAATTTAATTTGTTTGTGTTAAAAACTATTCAAATTTGATTGTCCTCTTCTTCCTCGGAATCAAAGATTTCATAATTTTAAATTTCTATTTAATGAAACATATTTTCACACACCTAAATATTTTAAAAAATTGAAAATTGAAACAAATATTTACAAAAAAAAAAAAATATAAATATAATTTTAAATTAAACTCCATTTGTTAAAAATCTAAAAAAAAAAAAAAAAAGTAATATAAAAACAACAATACTTTATTTACTTGGAACCTATTTATGGTTGAAATGGTTGAATTTTAATTGGAAAAAAGGTTCGATTTATATTCAAACCATCCGTAACAAGGATTAAAAGAGTGTGACGTTTAAATTACAGGCCACTATTAAGTATTAATCTGTAAAGTTACAATAAAATAATTGTTCATGGACATTCTTAACGCTAAAAGACTTAAAACTGTTGTATAAAACAATTGCAATATTTATATTATAACGAAGTGATACTTTTGAAAAAATAAGTTGCTGCTAGCTAATGGAATTTGCATTTAATATTTTTATGCAAATTATTGTGTTTATACAATATATTTTATGGGAAACGGATTTTTTCTTTTTAAAGAAGAAAAATCCCCGAATAGAAAAGTTTTAATCCTTATTTTAATATAAACTATAACAAATATATAAAATTATATTAAACTATATTCAACAGCAATATTATTAAGCCGTATTAAATTCTGATTGAATATAAAATAAACAAAAATGTGGTAAAAATATTAATACTGTTGCTAAGAATTGATAATTTTAAGTTTTAAATATAATTCGAGTGATACTTAGATTACTTCTTAGACAGTAATGAAATTATTATTCTGTAAATATATAAGTTTGATTTATATAATTTAAAATAGGAAAATGTAATGATTTATTTAGTTTGTTGTTTAGATTCGTTATTGCATTAACGACTGCACTCAACTATATTTTTAAATCATCTGCAAGTTAGGATTATAGTTTGTATAAATTAAAGAAAAAAGTAATTGCATTATTAAAATATGATTCTATAAAAAAAAAATAACTTTTCTTTTTGTGTATATCTATCATCCTTATCGCAAGAATCGGTGGCATGCAATTATAAATATTATACGAGATTGTTGGACGTTCCTCTAGAAAAGCTACTTATAATTCGGCAATTTGGATACATTTTGGGAGGGGATTCTCGAAGAGGGTGCCAAAAAAGTCAGATAAATAAAACACAATTCCATAAAAATGTTAAATATGTCCAATTATATATTATAGGTACCTATATAGTTTGAAAAATGATATTAAAAAAGGAAGAAAAAACCATTGTTATTTATTACCTACCATGGGGTTCGAATATTATTACGATACCGTTAGAATATAGCTTATTAATGCAATTATTATAGGGTGCCAATGATATATAGGGTGAGAAAATGCAGTAAATAAAATGTCAAACAAATGAACGTTGCCGCGCCGCGCAAATATATTTCACATTAAAAATGAACATTTGCTACAAAGATGGTTTGCTACCGACGAAACCCATATATGGGAAATAATGATAAGCTTTACACTTTAGTGAACGCCGACAATCGAAACCCTTAATTGGTCGATTCTATACTATGCCGTTTAAATTACGTATAGGTGGAAATATCAGAGAGTCAATGGAATTTTCTGTTGGGCAATTTAAATAAATACGAGTGTACTAAACGACGGTTTTATTATATTTTTTTTTTTTGCATACGTTTTATGATATATTATGAATATAATATTTTGTTATCCGTGTGCTAACTATATACATATAAACGATAATCGTCGTCTTATTCTTATATTATAAATTCACAATTCGTGCATTGATTTTGTATGTTTGTTTTTAAACGCTCGATTGGATTTTGATAATATGTTCTTAATCGGAAGTAAGAATATCGTCGTATATCATAAACTCGTTAGACATATTTAATTTTCATATGTAGATACGTTATTATTTGCGATAAGTTGAATCATAATATCTAATATTTCATTCCGCTTCAACTATATTATTTCTATATGGAATTATACTATTATGATGTGTATAAGCGATAAAGTTTGCAAACTTTTTTTTAGTCTGTTTTCTTTATGCTATTCTCTCCGTCCGTTGTTGTGTTTGTTCAACGGCCAACAAAAGACATCATGATACAAATAATAGTATATAGCATAATATGTTTATCAGCAGCACGAGAACAGTAATGTTTTGTTCAATGATCCGTGGAGTTATCATGTTACGTTCGAAATAATTTTTATTTGTCGTCTACGGAAATCATACTTTAAATTATTTATCCGTATAATATAGATATAGTCAGTTTTTATCCCCTACCTAAAACTCCTGACGTTTTATCGCAATTCTGCATGTATACAGGTCAAAGGATAATTCGGTCGAAACGCGCCAATAATTTTCGATAATTGAAAAACAAAAAAAATACCGTACTTCAATTAAATAATGTTATTAATATTACCGTTTTCAAATTTATTTGTATACACTAAATTTATACACTTATATTACTTCAAACTATTAGCCTCTTTATACCATGCATTAAGTACTTAAAATAATGTTAATAATTATTATTAATATATTTCACAATACCTTACCAAAAATATTATATATGTATTATGTATGATTTTAAATGTATTCTAATTCATGTACACTTATAATCTTGTCATTCATTTTATAAAATAAAATTTTCATTTTACTGTATTTCGTGCCCAAGTAATAATAATAATAATTCATACTGTATCGTTGATATACAATCCTATAAAGTACGAGTATTGTGGAGAAAAAAACAATTAAAGTTATTAAAACTTTAATAATCCATTAGAACCCGTTAATTTAAATTTTCAATATTATGATATGTCTGTTATGTTATTCTACTACGTTAATCACATTTGAAATACATTATATTTTAGTATAACATGATGTTGTGAATATTTAACAATTATATGGTTTTAATAATTGTTATAAAATAATAGTATAAATAAAATAAATACACGTTTGTTTTAAAGACTCTTATCTCATATATTTACATGTTAACTGTTGCACATTGTTGGATTTGTTTAAGGGTATTGATAACTGTGTATACTTTAGTTAATCTAGACCTAAAAGTCAAAAAAAAATTTTGATATTGTATTTGGTAGATTTAAATTTTAAATTTTTGAAATTTTAATTCTTTAACTTCTTCATTAGGATGTATTGGAAACATTAACTTAATTTTACTGACAACAGAGCTAGATATGTCATGAGCGTGGCGAGAAATGTATTGATTCATATTATGCTATAATGTGTGTTTTTTCTGTTTTTAACATATTTTCAATGTTTTATTGTCACGTACAGATACATATTTAATTAAAATATGTAAATATGTACATTTACATATACCCCTTCCCAACTTCTCTCCTGTATAATAGTGATCTACTCGTGAGCAGTATTTTGTAACAAAACACTCACAATGAACTTGCTTTATTTACAAATTAATAAATTAATAATAAAACACATTTTATTTTGAAGACAATTGGAGGAAATTCTTTTTATACATTTTCTTTAATATCATTATTGTTACTTTTATTACATTAACAAAATATGTTTCTTGAGTTATTAATCGACAACAACTGATACTTTTAACTTTATAGTAAGAAAAACAAACAATTTTGACCAGAAAATCGGATGCAGTTATTTCTTAATTTTATTTCTGTTTTTCTAGTCTATCGCATTAAATTAATTTTCTTTAAACATCTTTTTTGAAGCCTTTCTTTGAAGTCTGAAACTAACCGGAAAATATTTATTCATCCCATCCCTCTATGTTTCCATATTATTTTAATATTTTCACTTTCTTCTACAATGTATACATGTTTAGTATATTAAACCATCTACCTCTCAAGGAAGCCTAAAATCTATGTCCCTATTGATCTTATTCTCCGAAAAAAGACTTCCACCCTTTGTTTTTCTTTTATGATCAATTTAACAACTCAAGTAAACTAATCTTCCTTCAAGTTTCCAACAATTACTTTTCCTTCCCTCCGTAAACGCATCTTTACCAATTTTACTTATTCTATATTCATATATTTTAAAAAAACATTTTATACACCTACCTATTTTTAGTTAAATAGTTATATTGTAACTAATATTTAACAGTTTTAAAATTAAAATTATGTATAATTTATAATTTATTAAAATGAATTACCATCATTTTCGTTAAATCTGTGACGTCTTATTATCACCGACGATTTTTCCTACCCATTTCTAATTTTTTTCTCCTACCTCAATATCTCATTTTCCAAAAATTACCTTCGTATTCACCCTTATGGTCTCATTTACTGTTGAACATTATGATGTTATTTATGCCCCACAATTCATCTCCTTGCTCTCCATTAATAATCTCGGTTTTTTTTTTTACTCACTTCATCTTCATAAAAAAAAAATTTAATTTCAACTTGCATATCTTTGTTTTATTCTTACAGTGAAATCCTTGGCTCACGAAATATCCCTTTCAACATTAATTTTGAGTTTCTCTAATATTTTAAACTAAACAACAGGTTTTTTTATATTCTCTATCTATCATGATTAATGTTTTTATTTTCTATACACATTCATCTTAATACATGTAATACATGCATTTATTTACATTGACCGAATAATCTCATATTCCATTTTGTTTTCACAAATTATCACTTAATTCCTCTTTGAAACGCCGATCCTAAAAGAATCCATTTGCGGCTTTATTTTTTTTTATCTTCTAGAAACCGAGAAAAGAGTTTAAACGTAAAATCTTATTTTCATTATTACTCTCTATTTTGCAGTTCAGTTTTTCTTCGCTATTAATTTCTTCACGGTCAAATTAGAAAAAATGCCTTCCAAAACTTTCTGTGTCATTCATATTTAAAGATACTATATGATCATTTTTACGAAAATTAACACTTATTGTAAAAATTACTCACATACATGGGTTAAAATTTAAAACCACATAATAAATAAATATTTACCCATTCCAATATTTTGTTGTTTTTAAATATAATTTATACAAGTGGTAGGAGAATTTATTTTGAAAATTTGAGTTTTTAGTTTGAAGTAGGTATATGAAAATTGTGCTTTGAATTCATTTCCATGTATGTACTTACTCTTAAAGTTAATTGGAATTTTTAACTAATATGACTGATTATTTTTTCTATTTTTTAATTACATACATTAGAACCATAACTTTCTATAATTACAATCATATATTCGTACTATATTATAGTATTATTATACTGAATCCGTACATGCAGATACAAATTTTTAAATTAATATTTTATGAAATAATGAATATTGTTAGTTGTTCATTTATGCGTGGTGATTATCTTTTACTCTAGTTTAATGATATTTTAATTGTGTGTACGTGTATATTTTTAAATATTGAAGTCATATATACTTTGGTACTATTTTATTTACTATTATATTAGGTATTTCTATTTGAAACTTAGAAATAACAATAAAGATTGATATAAAGGTATGGTAAGTATCAAGTACATTTAGGAAATGACCCGCGAAATAGGATCATTTTATTAGTTCCGCGCGTATACTGCAATCGTAGAAGCAAAATGAAATGAAAAACTCGGCACAATACAAGGACAAAAAATCGAAAAGTTTCGAGTTAAAAATAGTGTTTGTAATAAAAAAAAGTAATTATGTATTGTTGGGTTAACTTTACAGAATTACGATTTTTAAAGAGTAATATTTAATATATGCATTATGCCTTTCGCCGTTTCTTGGATTGTGATGTGTACAAATGCTACATTTTTAAAAAAATAACCCAGTTCAAATCACATTTCGGATGCTTTAATAAATATGGATAGTTACTGTAATTATATTATTTATCGGGCGAAAAAATGTTTCGTAGATAAGAACGATCTTTTGGCTTTTACACGTGTAAGTGTACCAGTTAGGTGAAATCTTCACAGTATAAATAACTAGTGTCCTCAGTTTGAACGCGTGTTCAGGGTATGTTTATTTTTGAAAAAAGAAAGGATTTTCGATATTTAACCGCATAATTGTCACACATTTCAATAACTAAAGCTCTCGTCTAGCCAACTCTTGTTGATGGTAGTAGATAATTGTGCAAGCTTATTGACAAATTCGATCGATTCCCCAACTTAATTTTTACTACCTACTAATAAATATTTTTCTCTTCTTCTTTTTCGTTCTTTCTAGCCTTTTTGTCGTCTTATTCGAATGTTATGAACTATGCTACCGTATAGTAATAACGCTCTTTAGGGTTTTATAATATTTGAAGGGACTGCGACAAAAACGATCATTGTAAATTAATCGTCAAAATAAAGATATTTACATTGTCTTGTGGTTTGTTCCTGGACGATTTGATGCATAAATTGAGCGGAATTAATAAAAAAAAAGGATCATGATCCAGGATACGGCGTACAGTTTTATAGTAAAAAAAAAAAAAAAAAGAGAAAAGTCATAAGTATCAATACTAATTTAAAATAACGACTATACATATACATATAGGTCGATTTTTTCCTTCAAGGAAAAGTTTTCCAAGGTTTTAAATCCAAGTCGTAAATAATTATTCTTGTATCTTTTCGATGATAACTCTGTAATACGCTAAATATAATATTATATAAACGAAAATCGAAATGTTTATTAATATATGCATATGGTTTCGGTGTAGATATAATATTATCGTCTGCACAACCATCACGGACTGTTGCAAGATTGATCAGTTAACAAAAGTCAATACATGCATATATATATATATATATATCAATATAAAATATATTTAGCGGCTTTTATTATCCACGATAATAACGTTATATGGTAGATAAGGTATAAATGTATGGTAATAATAATAATAATAATAATATGATACGATAGGGGACGTGGTGGCGCACGCGTCGTGTTTGTAGAGCACTCGCTCGGTCGGCGGAAAGGTGATGTACATATTGTACCGCGGCGGGTCGCGTCTAGTGGTGTCTGCTCGCGTATATAAACCGGCGGCAAATCGCTAAAGAATATATGTATATATATATATATATATATACGTATATTCTTATATTGTGTATTGTACGATTTAGCGCTCAGTCAGCTATCTGTATTATTACTATCTTCGATGTATAGTATTGGCGCCGAACAGTCAATATTTACGCTCGTTTCGCGATTGCGGCCGCGGCGGTTTTGCCCTTCGATGCCGCGGCGCGTTTGCACACTCGCCCGCCGTCGTCGCTCAGGTTAATTTAGACGCGTACCCACGATGACGCACCAACCGGACGGAGCGGGAGGGTAAATAATATCCAATTTGTACGTTTAAAAACCTCCCGAAATTCCAGTCTAAATACCCAGCTGCGCGTACCTATCACTTATATTATTGTTATTATTATTATTATTTTTATTATTGTTCGAAATATATGTAGTTTATCATGCGAATAGAACACGTCTCCCACGGGAAGATAAAAAAAAAATCGCAATTATATAATGTACAATGTGTGTATACCATATTATAATATAATGTTATATCAGCGTTGCCGTTACTGCACGACAAATGACAGCTGGACAGCATATTTAAATGAAATAGGTGAATCTGGAGACTTATCAAAAATAAAATCCAAGAAAGGACGCACTATGAGACGTGAGGATGAGCTGCACCCTAAACTAATTGAAAGTAAGATAAAGGCAGAGAACGTCCCCGAACAACGTTCATAAAAAGAGTAATTTCTGATGTCGGGCTAATGCAGCTGAACGTATAAACCTGAAAATACTGGACAGTAACAGCGAATGAAGGGAATTCGGAAGAAGATTGTCTAATCAAGATTACGGCTGAAAACCGAAGAAGTAGCCATCAGTATTATAGAACATGAAGAAAAACCGACCCGCCGGGTCGAATAATTACACAAAATAGATGTGTGTTTAAGGAGTCGACAATTATCGGCGTATCAACAATTTTCCCAAATTTTAGTATTATTAATTTTACATTCTGAACAGTGTAGATAAGAAACTTTCAGTTATTTTACTGAGATGTCTTTTTTTTCTAGGATAACATTAATTCGGTTAGTGAAAATGCTTTTGAATTTTGGTCTTGCGTTGTACTCGTAGGTAAATGTGGATCTTTGAATTGATAGTATTTATTTTATTTTTTAAAATATCTAAATTAACCAACTGCAGTATTGTTGATGCATTTCATTGCAGTCAGTGGCGTACCCGATATTTTTTAATATTTTACAAAATACAAAATTATGTAATACAATTATTTGTATTTAGTTGAATAAATATAATACAAATGTGCAATGATAATTATTTTATAAATAATTATTATTACTAATTATTAATAATTATATTACTGTCCACTGACTGTAGACCACTGCAGATTGCAATGATTACAATGGTCGAACTTCCCATCTCTAACAGTGAAGACGACCTACCTACCTACCAACATTACCAGCGACACGAAGTATATTAATTTTTAAAATTTCGATAAAAACTAATTTCGCACCTGCAGCTGCCGCAGAGACGATTGGTGTTCACGGACCACTCTACGCGAATCTAATTTGCATTCCTCGGGTGACGGCGACGCAATGATTGCTATTTATTTTCGCGCCACCGCTCGCGTTGCCTTCCGGGTTATATTATTATTATTATTATTATTATATAGAAACGGTCACGGTACTCTGGAATCAGTAGGGAGTGGTAGTCAACGAACCGCGCGCGCGAAAACCGCTACCGTAAAATCCCGAGTCGCTGCGCAGCTCAGTCTCGATCGATGGCATACGGATGAAATTTCAATATGCGTATACTAATATCATATTATTACCTATTATTATTGTTGTTTCCGCCCCATATGTGCGTCGCAGCGAGTTCACTATCTCTCGCCACTTATTGTACCGATACGAATGTGTATCAGCTTACCGTACGAATGTATAATACGACTGTGTAGGCCGGTATAATATCATCGTTTAATATTATACGATGCCGTCGTATTATCTATATCGAAGTTTAATAAAATTTACGTGCCACAGTACCGCGTATATCATTATATTATGCGTCTGTATTATTGGTTTATAGTCACGATACATATTATTTTTTCATTCCTAAAAAAAAATAACGCGTGAATCCGATTTAAACGCATACGCATTTATATATATATATATTATTTTAAGTTGACTTGGCGTTCGCGTATCTGCATTATTTCTATTTTCCCTGCCCTGACACGCGTGCAAATTAAAATAAAATACCATTGTCGTAAAATTGTATTTCCGCTCTATACTGCACCACAACCGTTCGTTAAAGTGTCGTGTGTTTCTCCAATTAATTTCCCTGACATAAAACCTTATTACTATCTAGTCGAAAGGTTGTGGGTGGGAAAAAACATTGCAAAATATTTATATACATTATACATATATATTTTTTTTTGAAATGCATTTTTTTTTTACGCGTAAATAATTTAGAGGGGCGTTTAACGGCCACAGATGTATAAATCGTACACGCAATAATTTCTCGCCTCCCCCACCCCTCAAAAAAAAACATTTATTTACAGTTTATAAAACCAGAAATTTGATAAGTAATCGGAAATATCACTCAGCTCTGTCCCCCCCCCAAAAAAAAAAAACTTCGTTATATTATACGACTTGGAGTATTGATTAATTTATTTATCGATATGCTTTCATGAAATCGATACCTATACTTAATTATTTCCCTTCCTTTTCTGTTTATTGTCTTACAATATGTTTTGTTTGTGTAGATAATATAAAACATTTAAAAAGAAAGATAAAACATACTATTGCAAATTTAATAAAAACAAAATTTAATCGCCGCAAAATTTTCTTTGACTGCAAGTGAAAAAATACGATTAATTATTTTATTATTAGTCGTGTTGTTTTTCCGAATCGTTTTTCGATGGCAATGATTTAGCGTTACATTCAGTATAAAACTGAATTATCCTGTATATCTCAGCTACCCTACAACTTACTAGGGCTTCCCGATGAACAGTATCAATTTTTTTTTTTTATATATATACAGATTATAATTTTACTGTTTCATTTCTGCCGTAAATAACACCTTATTCTATTATTCTATTATATTCTATTGAATTAATATCATACTGTTTAAAATAAATGACGGCCCATTAAGAATATTATTTAACAAAAAGTAATTTAACTTAACAAAACAGTTAAAACAAAGAAAGTCTAGAGTAGAGTTATAGAAAAAAAGTGCGAATTAAGAAGAGTTTTATGAAGGTTGGTATAGTGAACTGATTCAGGTTTCGGAGGGAACTTTGACAGAATCCCATGAAAGTATTTCAGGTGTATATAATTAGTTTTAAAAGAAAATTGTCTTCATTGTTAATTGCGTTTTCTAAATAAAAGAAAAACTAATAATATTTGTCATACATTATTTGTGTAAACGATGATACTATTATTATACAAATATATAATATATTAGATGTGGTTAAACAAAAATTTCATTGTTACCTACCTACTGAATATATAATTTTAAAAAAAGTGTACATTTCATATTAAATCCTCGTACAATATTAGTATTTCGTGTCACCTTTAGTATCATAGTGTTAATCAGCTAATAGCTGTAGTTAATATCAGATTTCAATGTAAATCTTTTTGAAGATTTAATAAAACGGTCATGGGCTATTTACGTTAAAGATTTGTTTGTAAACTGACGGTATTTATAGCGCTAGTTATGCACTTTAACACGTAGTCCATAAGCGGATTAAATCAAAATCCTTCGCACTTATTGTTTATCTCATCCCACTATACTAGTTATGACTACTATGACTAGCTTAAAAAAAAAACATCCAACGTGTTTAACCTTAATAAATAGCTACACAACATAATTATTATTATCTCGACATATTTTTTTAAACCGTTATAATTTGTTTGAGAAACGGTTTGTTCAGTTTTTTCTCAACGGTGTATAATTTTATAATATTGGAAAAAAAAATGTTACAAACCGTCTATTCGGATAATATATAATATTCTATAGAAGACGGCGTATTATATATGCAATTTTGGTGCATTATCTCTGGAACAAGCGTGAGTGTATAAAACATACAAAAAGTTTAAAAGGGATTTTCAGTATATTTGTTGTATTTACATAAAAAGCGTATTCGTTCAATAATAATAATAGCATTAATACAACGTTTGCGCCTTTTTATAAAATATTAATATATTATTATTTTTTATTTGTTTTCACGTAAACGATATTTTGGTCTAAGGATTAAGTCCAGAATAAGAAATGGCGGGTCTCTATAAAACGGGACACACATTTTACATTATCGTAATCGAATTGTTGCAGTCCTCCCTGAACACATTATGTACGATTATCGGAATTGCTATAAACTAAATGATGATACTGCTGGTTATGCGTGACTTTCGTTTATTCCATATAATATTTTGGAGTATTTTTTTTCAAACTTAACGATTGGTACATTGTGATATCGTAAAAATCGATTACACCAGGTTTTTTAATCATATATTATACTCAATCGTTTCGTCGTTTGTAGGTATAACTTACTTAATACTTGCAGTAATAGATACTTACAAAAATTAATATTTTGATTTTGATTGTAGTATAGCGATAAATCAAATAGTTTCACTAAATGCATTTTTTTAGATTCTGAACGGAGCGAGAGATCTTAGTTCTATGACGTGTTTATTATTATTTTGTTTTTTTATGTTTATGAACAACTTTTCTTTCAGACGCTTGCTCCAATCGAAATGACAATAGTCTTTTTAGATTCTAAGTGGAGTAAAGAAGCTTATGGTTTTATAATGATGTTTATTTTTTTTTATTTTATTTTTCTGTAACTTTTCTACCATAAATCTTGCTCCGGTTTTTAAGCATAGCATCTTTTCTGAAAGGAAATCAGACTGGGATGGTACTTCAGAGAAAAATGTTCGTAATAAATGGAAAACGAGAAAATAGGCATAATATTAAACAAATATTATTAAAGATAATATATAATACCTATGTAATTATTTTACTATAATATGACATATATATTGTTGACAGAGTAACACTATTAACTGAACTCCGCTTAGAATCGTTTATTTTCATTAGCAATGGTTTATCGTGGTACACTCGTCCTTAATATCAATGATCAAATTTTATCACGCTGTATTTAAAAAGTTGCCGAATTTCTGCCTAGTGAAACTTTACTTAAAACTTTTTGAAACTCTATAGTTTGATTTTTTTTTTTTATTGTTATTATTATAAAATACCTTTTCTGTTACCGAAAATTATTTAAATGGTTTAAATCGTATACCTTAAAATATGAGAATTTTCATATATTTACGTGTACATTATTTCAATAAATATTTCTAAATTCCTAAAAGTTGTTCTGAACCATTATAAAAACTGAAAACAAATGACGATACATTGTAGGTTTTATTTGTATTGGTTTCTATGTTACTGTGGCCACAAGGGAAGAAAAGACGACTAATATACTAAATAACCTTACCAGTTTGCCAAACTTTGCTCTGAATCGTCTTTTGATTTCATTGATTGTTCGTTGTTTTCATTAGACAATAGACATATAAACATTATAAACTAAATTACCCTACATCCAATACCTTCTAAACGTATCGCGTACAACTACTAGTACTACTGTCTCCAGTTGTACAAAATAAGATGTCTGGCTTTTATTTTAGCTATGAATATAACTTGATTAAAACATTATTATTATTATGAAGAGTATTATATGTATATTTATTCATTGAATATAAAGTGGAATGTCACATAAATTACAAAGAGGGTAGAGAAAAATCTCAATTTAATATTATTTTCAGTATTTTTCGGTGACTCATATAATATTAGCCACGTACTTTTTTTGAGTATATATTTTATTTTATGTATTTTTATAGTTACCATTATTCAACATTTTATTTATTAAATATAGTTTGTCAGGTATATTTTAATACTCTGTGTTGAATAAAATATACAGTATATTGTATATGGTATATTTTTGGTTTTCATATTATTTTATTATAATAACAGCGGTGCGAATTAAATGTAAATTTTTATATGATTTTTGTAAGAAAACATTATCAATTCAACTATCGTTGGCCATAAAGCTGTTGAAAAAAAATGTATTATTATTATAAAATATAGTCTGTGCAATGTTCATATTATTATGTTCATTATGTTATAAATTAAATATTTGTCTGATAATATTGTTATTTGTTCCCGATTTCATAATATTTGGTAATCGCCACAAACTGATACCGAACACGCAAATAATCACGGAATTTATTTGAACTAATTTTTAATCATAGATTATAACTAGATATCCGACTGTATAATAAACTGGCTATCATATAACAAGACAACAAATTGTATTGATTGTGTTTATGCTATGAATTATAATATGATGATCTAGAAATCAAGGTGTAGATTTAAAAAATGAATTTCAAATATTTTTCATACCATCGCATTTTTACATTATCACATAATTTATCAACCTAAACAAATATTTTACATGTTAATCAATAGAATTTGCCCTCTCTATTTATGACGCTGCTAGGTTTTTCATTTACTCAGAGTCGGCTATCTATTTGTACTAAAAATACCGTTCCACAGTGTTCAATGGATTTTATAATTTTCAGTTATTCAATTTTTAAACAAATTTTTTTACAATATGCTTTTCTTTAAAGGGACCTATTTAGAAAAAAATGAATTTGTTAACTATATTTTTTATTTGCATTCGTTAATTTCTAAAAAAACAAAATAACTTTATTTATTCACACAAAATGTGTATAACAATTTTAATGTATCTTATATTCATATCTGATCAATAGTTTCTTAGTAACAGCCATTTTAATTTTTAGAGAAAAAATTTGTAAAACAAGACTACTACGTAACACGATAGGAAATAACTTGATTTATTGTGTCATAAATAAAAATGGTTGTCACTCAAAAATTATTGATCGGATACGAATGTGTAATTTTTTAGAATTATATTTTTTTACAAAATGGCTATTTTTTAACAAATTTAAAATGAATAAATAAAGCTTTCTTTTGCGAATATATGGGGTGAAAAAAGAAATTTTATTTTTTTTTTAATAAATGTCTCACTCAAAGAAAAGAAGGTTAAAAAAAATTGAATATTAACAGCTCCAGAATAATCTTTCAAACACAGTTGGATACCTGTATATATATTATGGTTGTGATTGATTACAATACATTATAAATTATATTGTATTACACAAACCATAAAAAAAAATGTTGCTGATGTTTTTGCATGAGTTTACTAGAATAGAGCTCACGCGTTTATAATATATTGGAAAATCTAAATTTTGTAGTATTATCGTTCATGATATAGGAATGGTTACAGACGCTGCAGCGCCACAGCCGAATACAATGTTTCCATTGGTTATCATATTCTTATCACAACCCAATCGCGCTACTCATATTATTCCATAACTTTTTTATCATAATCAGAATTTGATTTATTTACTTATAAATTACAATTGGATATTTATATGTTAGATTTTTACTTTTTACAATACTAATTTATATATTTTTATTTGAGAATAGCGGTATATCTAATGCTTATTAATTATTTAGAATACTTAAGAAAATTCTAAATCCCGATTTTTAATTTTTTCACGTAGGTACCAATAATAAATACAGCTATCTAAAAGTTAAGCATAGTTAATTTGAGTACTTTTATTTATTTCTCTGGTGTTGGTTTTATATTACTGGTCACATTATGCTGCATATTTATGCTTCGATTGTGGCAAAAATGTAATATAGATATGCGGATGGTAGATCGTAATTATATTGTGATAAAATAAAAAAATAATCTCCAATAATAACGTCATATTATTTAATAATTATTAAACGGTATTCGAACATGAAATTAGCCGGTATTATATTTTAATCGGGTGACCGTTATGCGTCCACTCTCTCTCGGCGTAGGACCGACGCCGCCGCCGTCCGCCTGCCCGCCCGCCAGTCGAGTTGTCGGGGACTCCGCGGCTTTACCATAATAATAATATACGAAAATAGAACTCGAAATTGAAATAATAAATGAATGGTTTTTGCATGCGATTGTGCAGCTCCGCCATAGCTCTTTGCCGGTACCCACGCATTGTCAGCGGGGCGGCACAAGAACCGCCACCGGACATACATTTCAACTCCCGTGTTCATTTATTATTATATTGTTAAAGCGCGCGCTCGTTTCGCGTCCGGCAAACGACGCCGAATTTACGACTGTCGACTATTATTATACGATTATTGTTATATGTATTATTTACCGGCGCGCATTGATGTGAAATTCGGTTCTTTTTATGTTCGAAAAGCGTATGAAATAATAATAATAATAATAATAATGTCTCTCTTTCCCCCTCCCACGTCCGTCCCACCACATCCCTGTGTGTGCGATGAAAATATAATTTAACCCGACAAATACCCGTCTATAAATATAATATTATAAATAACCCGTCTGAAATAATCGCACTATACGCCCCCGCTCAGGGTCTCTCGTATAGGTACATTATTAAGAACGGCGGGAACGATGGGACTTGGTAGAATGCATGCGGGATAATTAAACGTTTTTGAAAACCAGTGAATTCGTCTCGTCTCGTATTTTGTGTTATTATTATTAATTATACGTTTTTCTTTTTTTTTTTTATATATTACCAATATAAGAGTGAAACGTATTATTATATACTGTCGGAGACGGACGGGTCAAATATTTTTTTTATTAAAAAAATTTAATATATTTGATAAATTCTAATCAAGTTTAATATATCAAAAACAACACAGTTCTGCGGAATAATCTATACCTGAAAAATCGGTTACGCGCAGTATGAACTAAAAAAAATTAATTTAATCAAGGGTCGAATAAAACCTGTTTTAACGAACGCCCGTTACAAAAATAAAATATCTTAAAACTTAAAATATGATCAATTCTGTTAATTTTTTTTTTCCGCAATCTAAGCAGGTGGTTAGAATTTTAATATGTTATTCTTATACATAATATAATTTAATTTAAATGGCTTTTAAGTACTATTTTTTTTTTTATATAATTCATTTTTTTTTTCCAAGGGTTGGCAATATTCGATGAGGTAGCATGCTGGAATTAATGCGTTCTCTCGTTGGTGTTGAATAAATTTACGTTTACGCGCTAAGGGTGTTGACCGGATGGACGTCGTCGTGCGGTTTTCTTGCTAAACGACAACGGTAGCGCTGTGGTATGTGACCCAAAGTATGCGGTTGGTCGGAATTTACAATAGGAATATTGCCCAAATCACTGCTGTTGCTTCTACCAGCAGTGTTTCACTGCAGCTAGGGAAAGGAGGGAGACGATAAAGGATTAAGAGTACGTGATACCCGCATGTGCTGTCCTCGTCTTATGAACATACGACATACCAAATTTTCGTTGAGCAGAAACAACTTTGTGCTTGCTGTTAGTTTTAGTATTCGAGTGAATTAACCTACTATCAAACGTAAATCTTAAAACATTATTTGTATAACTACGGTTGTTTTTATCCAGTATTTAAATTAACTTGATAAAAGCGTTTTTAAATAATTGTGAGTTTTTACATACTTAAACATATCGATAATAGGTATTTAAAAAAAAAAAAACCGATAAGTTTGACGATGGTTCAATTTTTTCTAATATTAAAATTAACTTTACATATAGTTATCCCTGTTTAATGCAAATTTGCTATGTCGTAAGTTCATAAGACAATGAAAACATATAGGAATATCACGTCTTTTTAAAAATGTCCGCCTGCCCAATCAGTTTATTGTCAGATTCATAATTTTTTAACACTGCGGTACGAGTATATTATTTAATGCTTTTAAATATTTTCTATTATAACTTCACTTTTACAATTTTCCGGCATAATTTAAAGAAAGAAAAAATTCTCTTCATTTGGGTGCATCAATCGAATGAATCTGATGAGTAAAGTTTTCAATGAACTCGGAATTATCTTGTTATAGAATTTTGGAACAACCATATATATATATATAAATCCTATATAATCAATATAATTTTATAATAAATAATAATCAGATATGCTACTGTATATAATTTTATACAATAATTGGATAAATAAATTAAAACATTTTTAATTGCTCCTAAATAATTTCGTCAAGTTATTTGGTACTTACTACCTCCAAGGTTTTCAATTCTATAAAAATAATTGTCGACTTTTAATTTTGTTACGTACATAACATTTAACTAAAAATAACGGTGAATATAATACACACAGATATCGAATATCGAATGTTACACTGTGTATTTTATGAGCGTTTAATTAAGTTCAAAAACTTTATAGACCGGCTGACATTCGGAGTACGGTTATTGCTGCAGTAATAAATGTCGCGAAATAATTTTCCCGCCTTTCCGTCGTCACGCTTTCTATAAATGCTCATAAATAATAAACCGCCGTTGCCGTCGGTTCAATATTCATATCCATAGAACAATACCTGTAATAATAATATGTTGTTGTATTGCAGTTGTATAGACGTTTTCATTTGCAGAAAACATTTGTCCTTTAGAAAATATCGAAATTAAAAATAAAGGTTGCTATAAAAGAAAAAAAAATTTAAAAAAAAATCGTTGACATAAAAAATATGACGTATACTATAAATATGATTTATTCAAAAATTGTTTTTAACTATATGACTAAGTATAATTAATAATAACATATAATATATATTTTTTTTAACTCGAAGATAAATTATTGTATCAAAAGATTTAAAAGACTTTGTGATTTGGTTCAAAACAATCGTAAGGACCTAACATCTTTCTAGATGTGGTAAAATTTTCTAAACATATTGGCGATTTTTGAGTTTTTTATAGGCATTTGATATTTTTGAGTTATTTTAGTTTGTATTTGGTTTTATGTGGATAAAATTATTTCGACTTATCAAGAAATTTTTGAAAATTGTACACGAAGTTCATCGTAAATTGTACTTAGTGGCCAAACGAAAAATAAGTTCAGTGTCATATGTACTTTTTTTATAAACGTGTTTTAAATTAAAATTCCGACGAAGTCGTATAAATTATGGCCATTTAAAACATGTTTAACCGAACTTCGCTCATAATCGAATTTTGTCAGTTGCACACAGATATCAATTAAATGGCACTATATATCTTACCTTCCCAACTTTCGTCTATAACAGTGGCATACACATCAAGATTATTTGGTCTTTTTTTTATACATTTATTTTACAGGCGTGTATTTTATTTTGTATACGTCGTCGTTATAAAAATATCTTTGTCTGATCATGTGTCCGGGGGGTAAAATATATGACGAGTACGTGCCTTTAATCTGTTTAATTATTTACAGTCTACAAATCTCGTTTTGTTATTTAATTATATTGTTATTTTACACGGTGCAGCGGGACATCAAACATATTTTGTTTATGCGGTAGGAATTCTGCACAGCCATAATATTATAATTCTACTGGCTATATGTATACCTATACACTAAGTTTCGATTACCTATACATAATAAATATTATGAGATCATAATGATCGCGCGTATAATTTATTGCTCGTCATAAATCGTTTCAGTTTTTATTTTATGTATTTCTTTTTTTTCTTTTGAACGGCGGGGGTGGCGGAGGCATTACAACTTTTATATTCGCTGCCCCCCCTTTCCCCCGAGGAATTTTATCTCTCGTATTATCTTTCGAAACATTCGCTTAGTCTCAAAGTTAAATTTGATGTTCGCCGCAAACATCAAGCAACCACCGTTCCGTGGGGTGATTTTCAGTATATATTTATATATGTATACATTTTTTTTCTTATAATATTCTTAGTTTCTTACCGTTTTTAGATTATAATATTATAAACGGTATTGTTCGCATTTACGAAATACGTCATTAAATTTACTAAATTTATTTACCTAATTTAGTTATTCCATCGTTCAATAAAATAATAATTGTATTATTATTATGTGCCTACGTTTCTCGTTTATACAAAATATAATCGGCTGAAATACAAAAACCGCGTGGCTGTGTATTCATCTGAAAATTTGATACGTTTGTGTTTATTACATATTTATATTATACACTCGCGTATCGTTTGTTCTTGTAATCGTCGCGAACCGATGCGAGGTACTTATATAATAATATATTATTACTTATTTAATGATAATTTTCGTAAATTTAACCGTGTATAGTGTATACGTTGTCTAAAATAAATACTGCCTGTATACCTAATATTGTAACAATATTAAATCGTTTAAACAAATATTATTCGGTGTAAAATATTATATGCAATAGTTCTCTTATAGCAATTATAGCAATTAATACTTAAACGTTCATTTTATTTTGAAACGTTGCGAAACAAAACTTCCACATTTTACACCTACTCGTATATTATATTATTATCTCTCTAATATATATGTGTATATATATATATGTATGTATTTATTTTTAATGTACTCGCTCATTATCCCTTAGTAATATACACTTTTTATTTTTTAAAAAAAAAACCTTTTTTGCCATTCTATTGTTATGGTTATTATAGCTATTACAATAAAGATAGTGTATTGTGGTTGTTTTATCAGATGACAACTTAATAATTATTCGAATTATAAAACAATTTATACGTGTAACACTCGTAATTTATCGTTTTTTTTTTTTTTTCTAATATATTAGTGATTATAATAATATATAAATGAAAAATTACTCAAATATATGTTTTTTATATGTTTCAGATGTCTAAGTCCCAGATCGGCATATTTCTACGAGTTTCCTCCAGCAGGTAAAATATGCAATATTGTACATTTTTTAATACTCGTATAGTCTACAGTTTATGTTTCCCGTTACATAATATTAATAAACTGTGTAAAAGATATTTTTAATAGGTTTATTCATATCCGATTGTATATTAATGACAAACATTAAACAAATATTGAACCGTTAGCCACAGATTATAGTATTAACTTTATATACATTTTTGTATTATTATTTATTTATTTTGCGACGAGTTAATTAAAAATGAAAAAGGTCCTTTTTTCCTTTTCGAAGCTCGTTTATTCGGTACACTTAACAGAAACGATATTAAAATAAGAATTTCCATCTTCTTTGCATATACAATAAAGCTGCTGCTGCAATAGCGGAAAGTTGGGATCCTACGAAACCAAAGAGTGAGAGATGCGAAAAGAATCCTTTTTATTCTCTCTTACGCTTTCTTCCCCTATTTGTATATATCCTTCTCGCTCGCACCCTTTTCTATTTTGTACAGAACCAAGGGAAACTCGGTAATTTCGTGGTTTTCCCAAGGCCGAGATGGATTTTATCCACAGTGAGCCCAGGATAAAATTTAAATGGAAATTAGACGGCATCCCAGGGGAGGAAACTGGGTTGTGGGGATTTGAATAGCTTTCTGTGGTATATAGACAGGGAAAGAAGGAGACCTTTGCGCAGTGTATATGCTCGAAAATAGGGTTTGTTTTCCAAAGGTTTCGACGTATTTGTGGCAAACGTGTCGATGTGATGTTCGGCAGGCAGGTTGTTCGTCCACTCGTGCCCTTTTTTGTATACCCATGCCCGTGTTGATTTATTCCTATTTTTATTGTGCTTGCTGGTTTCCCTCCGTAAAATAACTGCAATATCCGCGAGATCGGAAAAATAATATTATCTTCTCAAAGATTATAATAATAATAATATTATTATACACTACTCGAAATTCGTTAGAAGGTTTGACGCCGTATATGCGATAACGAGTGTACGGTATAAAAAAGAAAAAATTAGTTATTTTTATATATTAGAATATTATACAGTTCGTTGTAATTTGTTTTCCAGACCGACCTGGTAAAAAGAAGATAACATTGACACGGTTTCTGCGGAACTTCAAGACTCACAGGAGAGATAAATCCCGAAGTCAACAAAACGTTTCGTCCAGGGTAAGTACCTTCCTATGTACCAAATATTTTCTACCGTTTTGCAATATTCGCAAAAAAAATATGTCGTCCACGCACATTATAAGTGTTGACTACTGTCGACAAAAATTTAGGTGACTGCGTGACACTAATGCACACAAAATAATGTATACCCACGAGTTTCTATGTGAAATGGCAACGGCGATTCACTCGTCCGTGCGTGTGGACTCAGTGGTTTGACGGGAAAAGGCTGCTCATTAATCGTTAATTAACATTTCAAACCGAAAGGGAACAGTTTGACCTCCTTTTTTTTCGTTAAAAAAAAATAATAATTTTTACAGCAGTAAATCAAATAGCATATAATTAATTCCTATATACATTCAACAAAAAAAAATTCCATAGAACGCTTAAGACCTCCCACCCGTTTTCCAAATCTCATAAGTAACTATGGTAACGCGTGTATACTCGAGACTGATATAACTAAAAAAAAAAGAAAAAAAATTTAAGGTACTATAAAATCGTTCGGCTAAGTGTCTTTTTGTATATATGAATATATATTTTTATTTATATATATATATATATATGAATATTATGCCCGTCATTTTTTTTACGTCTCTTTTTTTTTCTTTTTTTTAATTTTATCGATCCATCTCTTTCTTTTATCCTATCGTGGCTGTTGACCCGAAAATGTCTGCGTTTTCATTTTATATATTTTCGAATATGACATTTCGGTGCTGACATAATATTATGGATGTGCAATATAATACCAGTATAGATAGTATAGCCGACGGTAATCATCACGCAAAAGTCAACGACAATGACGTTTCCATAAAAATAAAACCCATTCTTTTATTTTAATATTAATTTACATGGTATTTCGTATTTAATGGTGTAACCCGACTTGATGGTTGATCAACATTTATTCTCCTATGTATTATTTTTCATTTTTCTATTTCTTCCTATAGTTTAATAGCTTGTCAGTTGTCATATATTATACAAAATTGAATATTTATATTATGTTGATGGCGGAGGAGAAAGATGAGGTAGGATTGTTGATCATATTACAATTCTAGGCCTTCTTCATGATTACAAACGTGTTTTTATAATGCTTTGTATTTATACTATTTTAAAACTTTTTCAGTAATTTATTCAAATGTATTTATATTATAAATGAATATATGCTAGAATCACAAATTACATGTTCCAAAAATCACATTTTTCAAAAAACAAAAGATCTGGGAAAGGGGTTTCTTGTGCAATAAAGAAATTCAAAATGCATTTTTCTTGTGAAATTTAAATTAAGAAATTCAAAACTGCCATAAAAAGTTTAGGTTTTAGTTATTATCTAATTTTTTTTTTTTTTTTAAGAAAAATTAAATAGAGTTCATTATCAAAACTCACAAGATCCAATGGAACTTGTTATATTTGATTAAAATTCTACTTTCTGGTTAGTTTTAAACCAGATTTTATACGTCTCGGTATGAACTGATAACAGAACTGGTTTCGCCTTCAAAAACCCTACAAAATAGTATTACGAACTAATTTTCCCATTTTTTTTTTTTTTCTGAAATATGTGAGTTTTGATATTAGTTTATTTAAACGATTTAACCTAGATGCGAAAAAGTGTCAAAAATGTCTTAACTACTTAGTTCCGAAACTGGCTATGTGCCATCGTTAAGTAATTGATAAAATATTGTGGAATGGTCTACGTATTATTAATATTTGAAAAGAAACAAAATAAAGTATAAATATAAATAAATTATCACATTTAAATTACATGAAGATAAGTGAAGAAAAAACAAAAATAACAGGTAGAGCGTGTAAAATGAATAACAAAAACAATGGTAACAGGCAAGTATAAAGAATTGGTAATTAAAACAATAATAACAGGTTTTTTGTTTTTTCTTCATTTATATGTGAAGAAACATGAACAGAACAGAATGAACATATTTCATAATTTAATATACTTTTTAAATTTGTACGTCTTAGTTTAAATTTTTTAAACAATTAATCTTCATACTATAATAATAATTACATTTTTATTACGTATGTAAAATATATTTTAATTTAATACTTAAACAGTTGAATGTCGCTTTTTGTTAAATAAAAGTGTTAAAATTTTATTGAAAAAAAAAAATAATATTACATTATACAATAATAATAACGATAAACCAAAATTAATTTAATACTATAGTTTGGTAGGAATTTTAATAATATTATATTTGTAAATTGAATTTATTTTTGGTGGTAAATATTGTTATGATAATAATATATCTGTGGGTTACATGTGCACTTCTGATGACGATGTGCCAGTGGAATACCGATTCGCGTTTCTGTGTATTTACATGCCAATCAGCATATACTGCGGGGACCCGCACCGGATTTAGTCAAAGCAAAGGGGAATGAACGCGAAAAAAATAAATAAATAAATCCCTTGAGAATTTCTATTTTTACTACACAGTCCCCTCTATGACATGTCGTCGGATATGTACAACCAAATTCACCAAAAATATATTTATTTTTTTTACCATCGACGCACGTGCGCATATTTTGTCGGAAAAATAAATAATATTATGTATATGTACATTTTTTATATACCGATATCTCTCGCTTCTACATTGGCGGTAACTATTTTTTTTATTTTTTATTTTTTTTATTTTTTTTTTTTTTTTTTTTTTTTTTATATATACGAGGATGATAAATTTCCTTTATAGAATATTCGTCACAACACGATTCCAAAATTTAATTCTACGAGGTCATGACTTCACGAGGGGTTAAACCTGGTGATCTGACACAGAGCTCGTTGATATTCGGTGACATTTCACACCCGAACGGATTTAATACGAACACATATACAAACCGCAGTTATAAACACAAAGTAATTCATGTTACCAAGAACGGGTCCGAAGGAAGGGCACTGGAGGAAAATGCCACCCCCATTACCAAAAAAAACTTTATGGTTTTATATGTACCACATTATATCATACATACTATTTTTAATATAAGATGTCAAGAAAATGTTGAATAAATTCATAAAAATATATTATATATTATGAAAATATAAATTAGAAATAGGAACTTATGCAGATTGGTACTAATTCGAATTTTTCACTTCTTGTAAATATATATATATTATATAATATAAACATTGTTTTTTCACGTTTAAATTTAATATTTGTCAAAACAAAAACAATAATAGTGTATTAAACATCCATCAATTAAATATCTAATACATTTGAACAAATCTGTCTTTACTTTGATAATGTTAAAAATCATTCTATTTTAATTTTTTTATTTGCGTGTGTTTTTCACAATACATCCAAAAGTACAGAATTGAAGTCTTACACTTCCTTTATAAGTTATTAACGGTTTATCAATAAATATGGCATCAAAAATCACACGTTTCGAAAAAGAAAGCGGAAAATTATAATTTAGCCCCTTAATTGCGCTTATGGTAAGTGCGTTGACCGTAGATAGTATACCGTATAGATGCTGAATTTACCATTGCGTGTTACGATAGACGATATCTTGGATTGGTCATTCCTAGTTTTAAAACCTGCAAAAACTACAAAAACTATGAAAATCGATACGATAATAGAACTAGTGATTTGGATCAATAAAATTCCGATATTACGTGAATCTGATAATTCGTATTCGTTGTGAAAAGCCGACACGAAGTCGTTTCTTTTTATGGGCTAGTCTCCAGTATTTCCCTGTTATTATTACTTAATGATCATCGAAAAAAACCGTTATATTTTCTTTTCCGCAAAAAAGTAAAAACCACACATTCTCTTTTTCACACATATTTCGCCTCCTTTCCTGGTTTGTTTATTTTAATCTATATGTGTGTTACAAAACAATCGGGATTTCAGTTAGTATATTGTATACAATTCTGTCGGTTTTTTAATTACGGCCCAACCTTTTTACAACGATTCCCACCCTATGCGTGTAATACGACGTAATACGGCAAAATCTTTGAAATTATATACTTCTCTTAACGAGCGTTTAATCGAAAAACGCTTAATCGTCCATGTAATAAATAAGTATAATGTACTATTTTTGTAACCATGTTCAAATCGTCATTTATTTTTTTCTGTACCGGAACTGCACGTCAAAGAATAGTACTTACCATCTCTACAGTTTGTTTTCTATGGTTGATTTCTCTATATATAATGAGCTCGGAGACCGCCACTATACTCACCCGGGTCTTCTGCCCTGTTATTATATATATATAGCGACATTAGAGTTTTCTACAGAATCAAATAGCCGACAACTTTACACGAATATTATTAATCATATATATATTATCATAATTTACACAAAAATCGCATGAATATAATATATTGTACGCGTTTGTATTTTTATTCGAAAATAATTATATGTTAGTAACAAATTTTAAATTTTAATTTTGATCTGATGCGCATAAAAATGTACAACTACAACGCTAATTTACGTATTATGGCTCGTGATCAGATCGTTTCCTGCGCTATATTTTGTCGAGAAATCGCCAAACTTTTCCCCGAATTACCGGCCTTAGATTACTTCCCTCTCCTATATTTATACATAAAATCTTCTGTACATTAGTCACGTCGTACCGGTATGGGAGGAGTCACAATACTATTTGGCACGAATCCCTAAATTCTCGCTCCCCGTGAACGAATTCCGTCCTATTTGCTGCGTTTTTACCCCATCACAGTATATAAAAACGCTACAGTAATACTCCCGAGGCAACCTGTGAACAAATCGTACTCTTTTTACATTCTTTTACATTCCATCCCTGGTTAGCAGTTATGATGATAATGATAATTATACCGTCTATATCCTCGCTGATCCGGATTTCCTTACATTGAATTAACTTATACGAGTTATTTTTTGTTTTTTTTATCGTGATCCAGCGATTATCCAAGAAGATTTTGAATAAAATTGATTTTGGTTTTTTCCGTCGTTATTAAGTTCATTTAATAATCGTCTTTATAATTAGGACTGCGAATTTAATACAGTGGAAAACCTTAAAATGCTCAAAACATGCAATCAAATAGAATAAAATATGCATTTAAAGTCTCAAAGAATGCAATATAAAATGCACTTTAAATGGTTTTTAATTAAACTTTTATATTTATTTTGATATTATATATCGCAAGTAAATATAACTAATGTAAAAATAACTAATGTAAGCAATATTGTCTTATTTTATTAAATATTATATACAGCCTATGTAAAACAAAAAATATTACGGAATTTGATTAAAAATACCGGAAAATTAGTTAAAAAGGAAAATATGACTTAAAAAGTCTAAAATAAAATTTCATAAATTTATTCGTTGTTACATAATTCAAATTATGTAGTTAGAAAGCTATCTTAAACAATCAACTAAAAAAAAACACTTTCCTACAAATTCACAGCCCTATTTATAATATTTACAAAATTGTACTCTGTTGATTTTCAAATAGTAACCTCCTCCCCCCTTTAAACCACATTTTTTTTTTTAAATCATCTGAAGTTCAAAATATTGTTAAAATTAAGCTTAAACAATTCTGTATTTATTAAAAGAGCAAATTGAATTGACCTAAAATTCTCAAACAAAATCACTGGATCATGATAACAAAAATAATCACCTTATATATATTTTATTCTGTTTCAGGCACTAATTCCACACACGTCTGCTATTATTGTTCTTTTAATAAAATGCAACCATTGATTATTTCAAAACTTGTTTCGTAGGTTTATTACATCACTTACACCGAACAAAATTTTGACCAACCAATTCTACTTCGATTTGTTCTGTATATTACCTATATTTCTATTTTGATAAACAATTTTGAAAATCAAAAAGGCGTATTAATTAAAATGATTATTTTTCAATATGATATAAAACGAAACGTAATAATTAATTTATTGGGAAGTTTTAAATTATACTGCTGACAGACCGAAATTTAAATAATCATACGATTAGTTCTTTTTTGCGTGGACGCCTAATACACTGCGAACTTTTTGTAGTTTAATTGTGTTTTGAATGACTATTATATATTCACATTCAGTTTTTACGTAATCCAGAATGATAAATCGATTGATGTTTAATTTAATTGCATGTAAATCATTTAAATTAATTTTTGTTTACGTTCTGTAACACGACAAAATTAACGTCGGTTAATACTACATTGCACATACACATCATCTATACGTATTGAAAACTAATGAGTATAAATTATAATATAACAAAGTCATTTTAATTACAACGTGAGAACAAATAATTCCGTTTTATTTTAAATGGATTACGGCGATTATTATATTATTGTGCGTTATAACGGATTTTGATAAAAGGTTTACTTAAATGTCGTCTTTTTGTATTATGATTACTATTAAATTATCCTTTACATTAAAAAGTGTCACATAATAATGATGTCATCGCAGCACTATACAAAAACTCATTATCTTATTTCTATAACGAAGTGAGTACTCGCTTATCTTGAACCCCAACGACTCCGAAATCCATTTTGGCTCGTCGCCATTTTATATCTAAAAAAAAAACTTTCCTATTGTACCTATACAAAGTTCAATATTAGCTTAGGTATTGTCGCGATGTTAATGTATTCCAACTTTATGAACTCGTTAATTGATTTTCATCCAAATCAGAATATATATTATATTATAGGTATTTGCATTTTTAACATTCCGAATAATTGTTTATGTCGCCTTAAATCAAATTATAATGATATACAATATAAAATAATGACAAAAGTATAAATATATATATACATAAACTACTTTTGGTAATTAAATAATGTTGGAAAATTGATTTTATTTTTACGAATAATAATTATAATTAGTAATTCAAATTTTGACGTGTGCGTAATCTGATTAACATATTAAAGTAAATTAACAATAAATGAATAATGTATATATAAGTATTATTATTGGGTTTGGTTCTTACTATTATAATAATAGTTGAGTTATAGAATTCAGCGTTTTATGTATATTATTGTTTACGTATTTCGGTTCTTACATAGTTATATAAATTGTTGGAGTTGAATAAACACGAATTAATGTCATAATATTATAATTAAATAATAATAGTACTGACGTCCGTAGATGCAACCCCGTCATCTTTATGATTGTTTAGAAAATATTATTGAATTATATCTCGTTTGAATCGTTATTAAATTTATATATATATATATATATACATTCACAAAATGTTAAAAGAAAAAAAAACAAACGTTTGTCAAAAATATTTTACGATTAATTTAAAAATATTTAATCGATCTGTCAAATATATTTCAAACAAGTCGATAAAAATTGATAAAATACGGTTATTCACATTTCTTATACATTTTATTAAGTTCCAACTGTTAAATTAAACAAATTTTTAGTAACTTCTGAATTTGAAATGATAATAATAATGATTTATATTTAGCCATCCAAAGACGTTTAAATATATTTAATATGATTGTATAGCACTGTATTAAAGGAACATCTGATATTTGACTAGGTTTCAAGTTTGGACAATACTGATTTAGACTATAATATACAATTACAACGTTTAAATAAATTCACTAGTACACATTAACCTGATTCGTGTATTAAAAGTTTCGACTCAGGTATTAAGAAATGCATCTGAACAGTATAAATCAATTAATATTTTTGACAGAAATTGAACATTGTTTATGTATAATGTATAGTTTATATATTTTATTTTATACGAGTTTAATTCTAATATTTGAGATGCATATAAACTCGCGTACTAATCCGCATCAATTAAGCTTATGCGCATTAAATTAGTGCGTATTAGCGACATCACATAAATGTGATATACTCGTATATATCTTGAGAATGGATTTAAATTGTAACGTGTAATCGTATTTAATGATATAAATTATAGGCCTCGCTATAACATTGAAATCTATAATCAATTATTATCAATATTTAAAATTGCACGCTGCATTATTACTAACAATACAATATATTGTATGAAACTTAATAAATATCATACCAAATATTAACGTAGACCAATCATGTTTTAGGCCAACACTCCCGATTGTTTGGGTATGACAATGATGGATAACAGAAATCGTTGTATGCCGATGTCCGGCCGAAACCATCATGTTGGCAATCCATCCGGTTTTGAAGAAACCATTCATCGGGTAAGCAAACAAATAAAATAAGCGTCCCTTAAATTTATAATTGTAATTCGAACCTTTTTGTCTGATGCTGCAATATGGTTTACATTGCCTCGATTTCGTCCGCAAACTTCGCGTTGCTATTCAAATATTATATATTTATTAAATTATTATGAAATATTTTGCGTCGTTTCGCAAATATGTTTTCTATGTATAAAATTCAAGTTTATAACGACACCGTATGATGTGTATTATAAAAATATTTATTAAAAATAATTTCAAACATTTAAAAAATATCGCTTTGAACGTTATTTTTATTTCATTTTTTTTTTAAAAAATTCTGTCTCGCATATTACAGTGCACAAACACATTGTGAAGATTTTATCCTCGTAAAAGTATAACGTTTAAAATCCGATATAGAATGAGGTATTCGACCGAAAAATGTGGTTTTCCAAAATCTCAAAGTTCGGTAAATTCGTCTTGTTCACCGGCGCAAGGAATTTTGTTTTCCTGTAATTCAACAAACAGATTATTATGGCGACTATTTCTTTGGGAAATAAAATAAAATGTTACAACACATAAGGACATTTCGAATTATTGAAATCTTTTGGAAGATTAGAAGTATCTTTTTCTTTTATTTTTTTTTTTAGATATCTTTTAACCAAATCTGCACGTGCATCATATTATTATCGTATGTTTATATTTTGCGTATACATATAAACATAATACATATATTTTATATGCTATTTGGCAAGCGAAAAACTTTGGTCGAAATAAAATACATATTATACGGTTTCTGACCGCGGTATACGCGTATCGGGTCGTTTCGATCGCGCGTATAGAATCCGCTATACGCTCGAATAATAAAAAAAAAAAAAAAAAAAAAACTGAAACCCACGTCCTAATAAACAACGCGCCGAACAAAGCTCGGTTTTTGGGTTTTCTCGCCGTCCCTTCCAGAGTTTCACTTCTAACCGTTTTATTTATTTATTTATATACGAGTATATTGTAGCGGACCGCCACCCGTCGCGTCTTCTTCGCTTCTTCCCGTTTGCCCTTATCCCGCGCGCGCGAGTATATATATATATATATTATAGTGTAATAGTCGCACGTCTACAACTATACAACGCATGCGAATATTATATTTTATATGTCTGCGTTTACAGTTCAATATTCGACTTATAGACCCCGGCGTTCCATATATATATATATATACGAACCGCAGTGTCGGCGGCGGCTCGTACACTAATAAACAACATTAAAGTCAGATTAGGAGACGCGCGCGTGGCGGTGAAGTCGCCGCGAGTCATTAAAAACTTTTCAACGCCAAGTCGTTGGTTTGTGTGTGTGTTTGTGCGTGCGTGTGTGCACCCACGCTGGAGAGAGAAACCCATAATGTTTGCCCCTTTTTTTTCGCACCGTAACGCCGCTGCATGCAGTACCTTTTTTTTCTCTCGATCTCTCTCACACGTGTACACGTATGTGTGTTCGTTTCGTGAGGACCATGTATCGCACGTGCACACACACACACACACACACACACAACACACACACACACACACAACACACACACACATACATGCGCGAGCGCCCTCGCACACAAAAAGCCCGTGACGACGGTGTGTTAATGCGCTCGCGTTTCACGACCCGCGGGGACCCATTAAAGGTCGTGTGCGGCGGCCGTTACTACCGACCGGAGTAACATTAATCTTGTTATGCGCGCGCGTAAAGCCGCGGCAGGATAGGACGAAGAATTTACAGTTATGGCGGGTGAGTACGCGCGCCGCGGATAATAATATTCTTTCGCTCGGTAATATAAAATACACAACAACTTTATAGGCATAGGTACCTATACCTATAAGCTACGCTGTAAAATAATTATAAACGTTGCACCAAACGTGCGTTTTATGCACGGGATGACGGATATTATCTAATCGGTGCGATGCATATTTTCCAGTTGAAAGTCCAAGAGGCTATGATCAAAAAAGAGCGTTTCGACCGGGAACACGAGGACATCCTCCGGGAAATACGTCATGGACTAATGCACTACGGTTCGAGTGGACCTGGACCGGGAAAACCATCGCCGCGGAACAACTCGGACGAGACGTACATGTACGACGACGATATGCTTCGGCACTGGTACGACGAACCGCCGTACGAGTCCGATCCCGAGGAGTTGCTCATGGAACACGCTAACAACAGGTTTGTGCCGCGAGCGGTTCTACGAGCTGTGACGTTAGTCACGTCGTCCTCCTCCTTTCTTGTTATTGTTATTTTCGTTTTCAGAGTTTACTACGGTTACGCCAAACATAGGACACCACGAAACAATAATTCCGGTTCCGTCATATCGTTGCGCAGCGCCGGTGACATATCACTCTCCGGTGGCCATCACCGCGGGAGTAGCGGCCACCGCCGACAAACGGCCACGGGCCTATTGTTGCCAGCTTCTGGTTCCGGTCAACCAACCACCATTATACCGTTGAAGAGACAGAACAGGGAGAGCGGAGACTACGCCACGTCCGACGTACAAAGTGTTTGGTAATTATAATGTATTCTGTATATTCCAATAATATAAATAGATGGATTTTATCGATGCTGCTTAAAATATGACAGAGACTATAGATTGAGATGGTATACGATGGGCTTGTTGCAAGAAGAATAAACGATGTATGAAATAATAGTAAAAAACATAAATTAAATAAGTATTATATATAGACGGGAGCCGGAGAAATGATAGGCATGCAAAAAAAATAAAAGTCACCTCTTATACGTATAGGCGTAGAGATACGTGAGTTTGTGGGGCAGATGAAGAAATGGTAGATAATGATATAAGAATATGTGAACAACAAAAATAAAAGTAGCCGGCCCGTGGGATGAAAGACCAATTTATTAATGTATGCGATTCGTCATTTAATAAAGGATTTTCCTCTAGTGTCTATATATTGCATCAGACTCTCTCTATAATATTATTAATACCGATTTGTCTTACGTTTTATCACCCTACAGTGATAATATTATAATATATTGGCAGCCCGCCGACTAATTACTTACTATACTTTAATCTATGTAAATAAATCTAACACGAAGACGGTGTAATTAATTTGCATTACAAAATCGCATCAACAATAATTATACTAAATGATTAACCGTACGTTAAATCGGGTATTGATAACATTATCACGTGCGTATACTATTTATTTTTGTTGTTTTTTTTTTTCGACAACCAGAGAGTTATCTATATTCATATCGTCTCACCCCTATATTTTATATTATATAATATAATATATCCAACACTCCCTAATTATTCCATAACGTAATAAGTCATCTATATTTAATCTTCCTACGCATAATTTTTTAAATAGGGTTAGTGCCTCACTGCTACTACTGTCCCCAGAGACTTGTCGTCGCCGGTCCTAAGATAAAAAATGATTATTTTTTTTAACGGTGTTTTTGTTTTCCACTACTTAATATTTGTTGGCATTTTAAAACATGAAATAAAATTTAAACCTCGTGTTGTCATAATAATATGCAGTTTACCGTTATTACAAATACATATATGTATGTATACGCATTTCTAACTCGTTATTTACCACTGTCTACCTTTTTTTATTTCTCTCGTAAAATAATTTTTACTAATTGGTTTTATTATTTAAATATGCAAATTGCATTCGGTTGTATATAATATAGTTATTACTATTAAAATGTTGTTTTTAATTTTTCACAATCAACGTACGAAGTAATGACATAATAATATGTGTTTAGCAATTTTCAATACGAAAGGTATTCAAAAATATCTGCATCAGACATAATTCTTTTAACTAATGTTTCAACTGAACAATCCGAGGATTATTATTGGCTTCGGTGGCATGTTTCTAAATAATATATCGGATTAATAAAAAATATTTAGCCGTCAGCAGTATTCAAAATGAGAAATGGTGATGCATCTCTATGGGTATATTAAACATGTTAACTTAAATGGAGAAAGTATAAAACGTTATACCTAGTATTGTTTCATTCGTTTTGTTTTTTATTTCGCAGGAACATCACGTTGAGGCTTGAGAATCCGACTGCAATTGCTTTTTGTAGTAAATTTATGACCGGACGCTATCTTATCTTTTTTTTTTTTAATGGATATATAGAAAGGTGTTTTGTAGTTTAGGATTTCGTGTACTTCTTTTTACCCTTAAATGTGCCATAAATTTGCCGATAACGTATAGCAATTGTATAGAAATCAATTTCATACTTGCCGAGTATGTTTAACGCCACTCTTGGGCGGAGTATTTAAGTTTTTTTGTCATTGTGTGTTGTATAATATATCATAATATAAGATTATTATTCGAAAATAAGCTTATACGCGATTTACCGGTTTCCATAATTGATAACATTAATAGTTGATTATGGGTTATTGATAACATTTTTTTTTTCTTTTAACCATCTTTATTCGTTTTTCGTTCATCATTTCATAAATACAACTATTGTATAATTTTCCGTGGTTTTTAAATTTTTTAAGTAAGTTTTTTTACCTTAGTGTGCTTTATGAAGTTATTTTAATAGGTAATAAAATTAAAATTATTATTTTAAAATAATATTTCATGTTTTTAAATTATCCGGTAGTTTGGCTATAATTTATGCTTGAAGCTTAACAAATTTTTATTTTAAAATCAGTGGAGCATGGTAGGTTTAAAATGAATCTTGAAATATACGATGTATTCGATAGTATCGATTAATCGATAATTTAATCGAATACAGTCGATTATTTTAAAATAATTGACTATCGAACATTTTGAGTGACTACTTTGCAGGCCTAATTTGGATATTACGACCCAATGTTTTTTTTCTTTTAATTTTAAATTAACAGCCAAGTACATTTATATAACAATATTATTCAATGATTTCTGTTGAATATGTTTAATACAATTGTTTCTGTTTATACAGTTTCTCGAATTAAAAAAATAATAGAAGAAGGACTGTGTGATACAAATTAGCTTCCTTTAAAATTATTGAATTTAGCCTAACCCGCCCTTAAACCACTTTCAAACATATTTCAATAATAGGTTATCTGAAAAAAAACTATACGATCAATAATACTCCTGCAGGCTATTTTTTATTTATATATTTATTTACTTCATATATATTAATATGCATTACCATTTATAATACTATAATATTAAATTATAAAAAAATAAATATACAATATAAAATATATTTGAGTTGATAGTACATGTTTATTGAAAATATTATTATTTGCAAAAAGAGACGTGCTAGTAAAAATAATTGATAAGGGGACGCTAAAAAAAAGTAGCTCTGTCCCCTTGTATACCATTCCCCTATTTATACAATGGATTTATGTAGTATTAAGTATTTACCTCAAGAAGAAATAATTTAAAATACGATCGACAACAACGAAAAAAAGTTTCAGTTTTCAACGTTATTTAGCATGGCGGTATGGACTAAACGCACCTACAAAATTTACTCTAAAACGTTTGAGTTTATTTTTTGTAAGCATGTAAAAAGGAGTCAAAATGGTAAATTAATTTTATATTTGTGTATATATTTACTATGTTTTGGACACGGCTATAATATATTATAGGTGCTAATGTAAAATTAATGTGATAATGCGTAACGGATATTATTATTGCATGTGATAATAGTTGTGAGAATAGAGTTCTCGCGGTGAAAGTGAAAAGTACACACCTATGAGTACTCGTATATCATTTTTTTTTTTTTTGTAAATGTGACCCTATTATAATTACACCTTGTTATTATTATATTTTACTTATAAAATAAAGAAAGAAAGAAAAAATGCCCGGTAGAATATGATTTTTTTGTGTTTCTTCTTCTAAGCCTCGACCATGACTTCGGTATTTTTTACGTTCTATGCGATTATCCGAACCTCACGGTTATCACCAAGGTCAACCGATCTCACGGTTCATCATATCACAAAGTGTTTTCGTTATATGATAATTATTATTATACATACTATTTTAATTCGGTAGTGTTCTGAATTATTCTATCAATATTCTCAAAAGTTTATTTATATAATATATAATATTTGTTTGTAATAATTAAACATTACAAACAAATTATCTTTTATATTTTTGTAGATAAAAAAATATAGTATCTGGTTAAATTATGATGGTTTGACTAAAAGCCATGCATTAGATACTCTAGGTTATATAATATCTAAATTACACTACTAATTTTATAAAAATAAGACGTACTTTAAAAAAAAAAAAAAATTATATTTTGTATGTAGTAAAGGAAATATTAGTTTTATCAAGATGCGATTTTTTCTATTTAAACATTTAACGTACTAAAACCTCAGGGGGGCATATAATACTACGAGTTTAGCCATCCCGGGGCCCCAAGCTCTTGCTAATGGAAAACCCTGGTGGGTGATTCCAGTATGCAAATGGCATTGTTTCTGTAGGGTGGAGAAATTGACCTTCTAGTTGACAATACCATTCTTCAAATGGATCAAATATTTGGGATAAAGGTGAAGAAGAAGACTCCATCTGTAAAATGTTTTGATATTTTCACGCAGTACTTTAAAAGATGCAGCATTTTCACTCAATAGTACTTTGCTTAAAACCCTGGAGGCTTTTCACCTTGGACAGAATCACGTATGCTTGGCCACACGTAGATACTGAATTACAAACGTCTAATAAAAATTTGGTAAACTTAATCCTTAAATTTAATTGATTGTAATGACGTAGGCCAAGCAAATGAGAAATTGATACCGGTGCACATAAACTCGGCTAATGACTTAAAACTTTCTCAAAATCCATTCTTATACATTAAACTATGTGAAAAATTTATTTTGAATTTATGTTTATCGGTTAGGTTAGGTTAATGCCTAACCTAACTGTCATCAATATCCTATATGACTTGCTCAATAGTGTCAATGGATCTATTGATCAGATCTAAACTGACGTCAGTGTATATTATAATAGAGTGTAATTAAAGTATCCATATATACGAAGACCCGCTTTTCGTTTGTGTTAAATATTCGAATGATAGAAATGAAAACTCCACTTATAGTAATTTTTAATATTACCAAAAGTAGTTTATAGTATAAAATAATATTGAAATATTCATTTTCGTAACATTATACCAAATATCATTCAAAAAATTAGATTCATAAAGAATAAAGGGACATTCTCTTCTGATTTTCGACTTTAAAATATTTGAATTCACTGTGACTTAATACTCCTTATACTTACAGAGACGTTTACCGATGTATTTCTCGCGGTAAAATAAATAATATTTCACTATATTTCTGTAACTTAAGCGTTACTTTTAACGAGGCAAATGGATTTATTATATTATATATATTAAATAAGTATTTGACGATTTGATCGCTTATTTTCACTCGCACAATATGTTAAAACAGACGGGTGCTCGCGTGAAATATTAAGGCTTAAGTCGATCGTTATATTGTACAGAAATCCAGATATTTTTACCGATTTACCTAAACATACATTTTTTTTCAATATTATAAATATAGTTTTTAAACAAAACCGTGTGCTCTTATAGTACAGAAAAAAATCTTAATTATACGTCGCTATAGTTTACTTAAAATAATATAATACACAACGGACACGTATAATATTATTGTATATAATTATTATAATTCCACGCTTTTAATTGGAACGTACCTTTATATACGTTTCCTTTTTGCAGCGGGTTTATGCTTGACGGTGCCCTTTTTGAAATAATTATAATTATGGAAACTAAAAAAACACCCTATGTCATTGGGATTTTTATATATTCGTATATATATTAATTATATTACGGATAATATTTAAAATTAGGTAATGTCGACTTTTCGTTTAGTAGAACTGATGTTCTGTATTAGTTTTAATATTATAGCGAATTGCCCTATTGTCAAACTTAAAAGTAGGAACATTGTATATGTTTTTGCAACCAATTTTTTTTCTCGATATTTAAATTTGTTAGCTAGATACAAAGATTTTTAAACTGTTATATTTCACATACTCGTATTTCACTTAAAAGTTAAAATATTGACACACGAAACTCAGACCATGGTTTTACCGTTAAAAGGACGCCACTACTGAGCAACATGCAAAAACAATGTTTACGTAGACTATGTAAAACTAGCTTAGTTTTGAATTTAGAGTAAAATTACCTATTATGAAATGTATAGAGAAGAATATTTTGGAGGGAACCTCATGAGGTTTTTGTATTATCCTAAATATACGAGTACAGTTTGATAAAACACACAAACCGCTTTTTTTTAGTATTTTAAATAACTGTAACTTTTTTAATACTTAATGATTCAAAAAACACCTTTAAGATTCCCTCCAAAATATTGTTCTATATAAATTTCATAATAGGTACTTTTACTCTAAAATCAAAATTAAGCTAGTTTTATTTAGTCTGCGTTAGCATGAATTTTGCGTGTTGCTCGGTAATTAAACTGAGACAGTAATTGCGGGTGTGGTGTCCTCTTAAGTTTGATATTTGGTCACTTTACTTTAATATTAAAACACAGCCCAACATCGAATAAAAAGACAAACATTTGACATTATACAATTTTTAACATTAGCCGTAACATATATATATATATATAATATGAAACATAATATATATTATTATGTCTCATTGACCATTTATGGATAGTGATGGAGCCCATAGTATAATCGATCAGATCATAGAATACCTGCTTTATAATCTCTCATCGACCCAGTTCTCTTTATCCCTCCTAAATGCGCGTACAAATAAATTATTATACGGAATACGAACATAGTGTATAATTAAATTTATAATAAAATAATAAAGTAAAAACAAAATTATTAAAATGGTTAATACTCGTAAATAAATAAATATATAAATAAAAAATTAAATACAATTTTTGGGTTATAAGATAGATAATGAAGGACTCCATGTTCTTGAGACTAGAATTAAGGCTATAACATACATCTGGTATAATAAGGATTTTCGACTATCTTCAACAGTTTTTATGACTGAATTTATTAAACCAGCTGCTTTAATAAATAATACCTAAAAAATAATAATAATGTTATTATTGTACTTATCTTCAAAATAATTATAATGAAAGTAAATAAATATATAAATAAAAAATGTGTGTATAAAAATAAAATAAATAAATGAATCTATGCGTTACTTGGAGTTTTATGATACGTGAATACACTTATACTACTGGTTTCGAATTAAAATCAAAATTATCATAATAATATAATCATCATAAGGTGTATCACAATCAAAGTGTAAAAGATAACTGAATATAAAAAACTAAATGAAAGAATACATAGAAAAAAAAAAAAAGGAAAATTATACAAATTGGTCGTTTTATATAGACTACAGAAATAATTTATTTTCATAGGAGAGATTATTTAAAATTAGTTATTATTAGACATAGGTATGTTAAAAAATATAAATTATTTGGTTATTATTTATTATCTGAAATGTATTGATATAAGATATTATTTTTAAAGTCGGTTTAAACATTCAAAATATTATTAAAATCATTTTTTTTATTTCATTATTTATGAGTAATTCTTCTAAAACTGAATTAATGTAAATGTTATTTTAGGTACTTAATATTTCTAAGTCTGTATTAATATCAAAACTTATATTATGGTTATTTTCTAAAACATATTAGCAAGATTTTAATTAGGGGCAGTCTTTTATAATTTTATTTCAGAAATGTGTTATTATATGTTATTTTAAAATTTCTATTTGTCTTACACCTGTATAGAATTTATTACAGTTACATTTAAGTTTATACATAACGAGCATTTCCAAAAGATGAGTGATTTTTTGTAAAGTTTTTAGTTCTATTGTTTATATATTTGATTAAATTATTGTTAGTCTTAAAAGCGATTTTTACATTATTTGTATTATTGTTCAGAATTTTATCGAATTCGTTATTATTCATACTATTTTGATATTTCATACTACAATAGTTAACAACATTATTTGGTGAGTTGTGTATTATTTTTTTTTTTAATGCCTTTATGATTTTTTCAATAGTATTTAAATTGAAATTATTTCTATGAGCTATATTATAGATAATATTGAGCTCGTGTTGATAATTATATTTATTTAATGGAATACGTCCAAGCCTATAGAATATTAAATTTAAAAATTATATTTCTTGAGAATAGGGGTGATTAAAATCGCGTAGTATTATAGAATCAGTTTATGTAGGTTTCTTATAAATACTAAAATCAAATTTATTGTTTATTATAAAAACTGTATAATCTAAGAAATTTAATTTATTATTAATTTGTTTTTGGAGTGTATATTGAAAGTTTTAATTTATCTTATTTAACTAGTTTTAAATAATTTCTTATATTAAAATAAATTATTTCTATATTCTATGTAAAACGACCAATTTTTATAATTTAATTTTTTTTTTTACATGTATTCCTCCATTTAATGTTTTATATTCAGTCGCGTTTTACATTTTGACTGTGTTATATCTGATGATGAATTTTTAATTCGAAACCGGTCGTATAATATTCATATCATAATACTACAGGAGACGCATTGATTCATTTATTTATTTTATTTGTACACATACATTTTTTATTTATATATTTATTTACTATATTTAATTTAATTTAATCAAATGTACCGCATTAAACGCTTAATCGCTTATGACTCAATCAAATATTATTTAATATGTATAAGATAGTTTACTCTAATGCAATCATTCATTCTATATATTACAGTTCTAGGATGTCGTCTTTATCCGTGGAGACCAACCGATCAGACTATGATCAAGAACTTTACCACAGGCTCAGGATGAATGTAAGTTTACGCAATATTATACACAATATGTATTGTGGGGCTATATGCCCCACACAATACTATATGTATAGACCCCGCCCCCTTGAAAACATTTTTTTTTTCACTAATTTATTGTGTTTTCTTGTGTATAGGGAATGGACACTATGGTCTCACCTGGCCACAGTTCGGATTATGCCGATCAGGAAGACTCTTTTGTTCAGCAATCGCCCGTACGTATATTGTCTAATGCGATTATTATTGTTTTCGATTTTATACGCGTTTTTTTTTTTTTCTATGTACAACCTTTCTGTTTTCTTCTTTCAGCGTCACAGTAGAAGACAACATCATAGATCCAAAGCGTCCACGAAGCAACTAAAACAAAATCAAGGACCAAATCGTCACCATAGTTCTGCCGAAAGTTTGCCGAGCACTTCCAGTAAGTATTTCGATTCTTCCACGTGCAAAATACGTTTTCAGTTATATTCGAATACGTTATTCTATGATAGGCGTCCAAGCGTTAATGGGAGCAGCATCACAGAGTTCCGAAGAGTCTCCAACTTCTTGTGATGGAATTCAAAAGATACAAGTGTTGGCGTTAGCGAGAGCTATTTCCAATAGCAGTCCAAACCCTTACGACAAGGACGCATTGAAATTCAATGTGAGAATATTATTATTAGAAGAAAATAAAATCATTCTTGAGCAGTAAAGCTCTATCGACTGTCACTAGAGTCAAATTTTCCACAAACAAAAATTTTTTTTTTTTTGTTATTGAATATTTAGTACACATTTTGTATGAATTTGTATGTAAATTGTCTTGATTTTTTTGTATTGAGAGTCAATCACGGATTCGACAATATGACACATTTTTTTGCAGTAAATTAATTTTTAAAAAGAAGGGAGTTGAAAGACGTCTCTTCTGCCCCCTTCCCCAAATTGAAATACTTGTAAAAATTGAAATGTTTCAATAGCTATTAATTTATATGTCTAATCCTGAAATTCCTACAACTTTCCTAACTGATTAAAAATCAGTTATAATATCTAGTTATAGTATAAACCTACAATACTATACTTAACCTTCCCAAAAATATTAAACTTTTAACATAAGAATGCTTGGTGTGGTGGTTAAATTTTGAAACCCCCAAAAGGTACACCCTCGATACCAAATGTTATTTTTTATTTTTATTTAAATTTTTGATTTCTGTCAAGCTATTAACAAGATATTGACAGATATAAGTTTGAATTAGAGAAAATTAGTGGAGTATCATTTGTGTGATGGTACAGCTCATGGTGTTGTTGTATACCTATCTTTCAATGGTACACCTCTACCTATTTTTAAAAGCTCAAACAACCATAATTTAATCGGTTACAGATCAGACTTGGAATAAGGCTATGTATTGTGGCTACTCAAAATAAACGATATTTCGCACTGGCTTAACTTCTTTATTATAATTAAAATACAAACATACAAATATCGGGTCTCTCAAAAACAATACATGTATACACACAAATGTGTTTCGATCAAAAACCCGCATTGACCCATTGGCTCATTTGCTTCATTAGCCTATACAACAGTGTTAGCAATGCACTACTACTCTCCTCCTATCCAAACTTAAAACTGGAATATCTTGTCAATAGTTTGACAGAAATCAAAAATGTCAACATTAAAATTTATTTTAATTAACACTTCATTTATTTATGGACTTTTAAATATAGGTTGTATCTTTAAAATCAAAAGTAGGTAGTAGTATTACCCCCAAAAATAAGGGTGACGAAAAATAACATGTTTTTTACATTTTCTAGAAAACAAATTCCGAAAAAAATTATACTTTCTGAGATAATGAGTGTACCCATTTAAATAGATCACATGGGTACACATATAAAATTTCATCCTCTTGGCTTTATTTTTGTGGTCTGTAATGATGTCCAAAACTAAACAAATATTCCTCCTATAATAACATAGTGAAATTTAAATTAATAGTCCACCCAACTTTTATATTATCACTCTGTCCATAGAACGAATATAATTTCCAAGTTAAAATTCATTCAGAGGGAATGTCATTAAAACTGTACAAACGAAGTGGGAAAAAATATATATATATATATGAGATTATAGGCTGCAATATGGTCTCTATTTTCAATGGAAATTCGACAAAACTAAATTGTAAAGTTATTAACAAAATATTTGTTGATATATTTTAGAAAGGAGATGTTATACTAGTGACCACTATGAATGCTAGTGGTATTTGGAAAGGAATGGTCAAAGGCTATGATAGAATAGGTACATTCAAATTCGGAAAGGTCCAGCCTTTAGTCAACGAGAGCAATGGACTTGAAAAAAGCAAAGAGAATGCAAAACACAGGCCAAAGTCATTGCTTCAACTGCTCAGGACTATAGGAATGGAGGTAATTGTTGCTTAACATTTACATTAATTCTGTAGGTATTGGAAGAATTACATATTTATAAATTTAAAATAAAGGAAATTATTTAAAAACTTCTTAAATGTGCTAACAGATTATAAACATAATAATCTATCATACTAATAATATATTTTATACTTAAAAATAAAATGTCTTAAGTCTATGCCATCTAAGCTCTTCACTTCAATAAAACACAATCAATAATACTTCAGGCTAAGTTTTGTTCGTATATTTCTTTATTTTTGATATTTTTTACAAAAATGTCAATATTCATTATATTTTGTTATTGTCAATTGTAATGATCTAAAATAATAATAATAATAATACATTTTTTGCATGAGCAGGAACAAATGTCCGTGTTTGCAATGAATGGTTTTGGCGATCTTCAGTCGTTTTGTGAGATCCGTGAAACAGACTTAGACTATATGGGCATAATGGCACCAGAACAGAGAGCAAGAATTTTAGCAGCTGTTCAAGTCATGCACGATTACCAATGTATACATTAATCATTTACTATCCTATAGTTTTAGTATAGAATTCTCGTTTGACATGGTTTTTTTCCCCCCAACAGCACCTGAAGATGATTCTAGCAGCACTGAGGAAAACAAAACAGATCCAAGCTGTGACGATTCTCAAGAAGGCGGTCAACGCGCAGTTTCTACTGCAGACTTTCCAAAACTAAAGCAGACACCCAAACCACGTTTCTCAACCAATAATAGTAACAACGCTCCACTGTCTTCCCCAGAGTTCAACAAAAAAACACAAATGTCCACAGATGGCCATCAACATTTTGGTGAAACTTCCAATGTTTCTGTGGCAGCCACTAAGCTGAACTCATGCACTTCTAGTGAAAAGTCCTCGGACTCTGGTGTTAGTAGTTCTAGTTCGTCTGTATGTTTCAGTAATATGAGTCGGGGAAAACGAATTGGAGCAAATCAACTAAACAATAAGAATAATTTTGGGGGACACTTGGTGCAAAATGTTAAAGATTGTTGAATTTTTCTAAACAAAATCAATTTCCTTGTGTGATATCAGTTTATGCTGCTTATTCCTAGAAAAAATACAACAATTTTTGTTTAAACTTGCATTTACTTAATAATCTCGGGCATTTTTTTGTATTTAATAATCAAAATATTATTATTACTATTAAGTAGTTTTAAAAATTCTAGTTTCATTATAAAAACAAATAACAGTGTGTTTAATGCTCTGTTATAAAATAATGCTTGTAAATTCCTTTAGCCCAATTCTAGCCTTTGTTTATTTATGTATGTGATAGTGTACATAATACTCCATACTTATCAGTTAACTTGTGGATTCTTAAGTCTTACGAATTTTGTGGACAAGGTTTTAGTCAATTTGTTGTTGTTTACAATAATTTTTTTTTCTTTTTGTTACCATAATAATTGTACATTAATGGACATGATTGACTTAATGAAATAATTCATTTTATGAATTTAATAAGAACTGTTTAGAATCAAAATGATTTACCTATTAGTGTATAGTAAAATCACAAAACTAAATGTTAGTTACATGGGTAAAATCAAACCATTAGATAATGATAATATTGTTAGTATTTAGTTGGGTATTTAGAATAATATAATATTATAATTTATAATAAATTTCTACTGATAAGCATATATTATGTAAATATTATTTTTAATTTATTGAAAGTTATGACAACTATTAAACTATTCCTTTACGTGTCAATATAACAAAATGTTTATGTAAATAGTTTATACATGTGAACAATCAAAATATTACCTTTTGTCAAATAAATACCAAAAATTAAAGAATACATTTTTGTTTTTAAATAATTATTATTGTTTTGTCATTTATATTATTGATTAGTATTGCTACTCACTTGGTAAAATGCGCAATCAATCAATAAGAATCTGTTCTATAATGTATATGATCGCCTTGAAAATTGGTTTTAGTTTCATGATTGTAGAAAGAAAAATTAAAAAAGAATTTTCTAAGACTAAAACATATTATACAACTTTATTTTTTAAAATGTACATAAATTAATAATTAACACATTGTGCAAGTAAATGATATTATCAGTCAGATTTCATTTGCTGTTTATTAACAATAGTTTCATCTATTGTCATTGAACTGACAATTTTGTTTTTTGTGGTGATCAAAGGTTTGTATTTTTAAATGACGTTGATGTTACCTCCTGTATAGTTTCCCTCTGTGTATATTCAAGTTCATCAATTTTTAATGAATATGTCATATTGTCATCAAATCCGCTCAGACTCCCACACGCCACAAATGGAGTGATGACAGGGTGCATGTTCATCTCGTCCCACGGCCACGCATCATTGCAGGTCATTAGGGGGTTGGCCATAGTGGGAGTGTACCCGTCAGGCAACTGGAAACCGCAGCACACGACAAATGACTCAATGCTTGAATTACGAGAGCTGCATGGCTTGGTGACAGTAACGGTGTCAAAAAATATTTCTAACTGAGCCATCAATATAGATACATCCTTACCGCGGAAAATTTTCCCAACGAACGTGCCCTTAGGTTTCAGCAGATAAGTGGTAATGTTCATCGCAGCTAACAGTAACTGTGCCTGGATGTACTCATCCAGATCATGTAGCCCAGTCACGTCAGGTGCGCCGTCAAACACAACTAAATCGACGAGCTTCTCGCCAAACTGGGACAGTATTTCGCTGGCCGTACTCTCCTTGGTAATATCACCCTTGAGCTGTATAACACCCGGCAACGGTGCCATCGACTGCAGGTCCACGGCCACGATTTTCACGTCATCTCGCTCGCCGTCCGATTTGTTCTCATACAACTTCTTGCTCAGTACTTGACTCCAACTACCAGGCGCCGCGCACAAGTCCACCACTCGACTCACACCATCCAATATATTAAACTGCTCGTCAATTTGCATCAGTTTAAATGCACTACGAGCCCGCCAGCCTTGTTCCTTGGCTAGCCGGTAGTATATGTCGCGTTTGTCCTTCGATGATTTACCCATTTCTAGTAGTAACGACGACGTTCGATCGTATGAACGTGGAAATTACACGATATATTTTTATTACTTTCGTTTGATGATCTTTTATTTACTTTTCTATACCTTAAATATTAATAGTTAATTCTCAATTATGATCAATAGCTATTGCTACTATCTTAGATCATATCAAGGAAATACTTGTAATATGTAATAATACTTGTAATGAAACATCTCATATATTATCAATACACCTTGTCCAAAATTTGGATTTAATCTAAACGTAATAAAATGATAGCACGGTTTCTTGTGATAATAAATCTTTCTTATCTATGGGATAGGCCATGTAGCCTTATCGCACGTTCCCGAAAACGTGGCTGTCCTCAGATGCTTTGTTTTTTATGCCATGATACTTACAAATGGAATGATAGTCATGATGCCCATTACTACTGCCTTGTTAAGGGAGCACGTAAAATCTGGAATGTACAAACTTGGAAAATACAAATCTTGAATCTAGGATTTTACGGTTATCGAAGTTTGTACCGTGTAAACCTGGAATATAAAAGTCTGGAATGTACAAATCTTGAAAAATAATTTTCTATTACTCTAGTGCAACCAACTAACGGACCAAAAAATTATACGTCTGTGACCAAAAGCTATTCTTTTAAAAATTATAAGAAAAAATAACTTATTAATCCTATCTTCTTACGCTTGGGACATTAACTTCCTAGAAGTTTTTATCAATACCAGGGAACGGCTACTAATTTTTTTTTTTTAACAAAACAATTATTGGGCGTTATTATTTAGTTATTAAGTGCATAGGTAAAATTTGCAAAAGTGGAATATACTATATATAGTAAATATCAGTGCAGTTTTCAGAAAATTGATAAGAGGCCAGTCACAGTGTTTGAATGTTACCAATCGAGTGTATAATATTTGTTCCACAAAATATTTTTTCTAATGTCCATTTGTTAAACATTTGTTAACATACACATTTATTTAGTCCGATAAACATTTCTTCCATTAAACGTTTGTTCCACATAATGTTTAGTGGAACAAAGTATCGCGATTTTAATTGAAAATAACCCGCGATTTTTTGTGCATAACTACGTAGGGTAGGTTACAGGGAAAAGTGATAAATCTAGGGTAATTTTTGATTAGAATTGTTCGAGTAAACGCAGTGTAACATCTCGCGTTTGAACATTTATAACATTAAAACTAAGCCAGATAGCCTTATTCGAATTCTAATAAAAAACCTTTGTTATCAAAATCTTAATAATTACAAGTAATAATAGTAAAAAAATCTCAATTTTTAACCACATTTTAGATGAATTTAAAAATGCTATTTTTCAAGGTTTGAAAATATTAAATTCTAACTAAGAAATACACGAAACGGAAAACCCGAACTTTATGAAATTTTCTCTCATAACTTCAAAACGAAGTTCGTCCGCTTTAATAATATTTTATATTCTTAATGTACACGTAAAACCACATATTTTTTAAAAAAAAACTCAAAAATCGCATGAACGCTAAACTAGATTTATGCCAAAACGTGTTGTCTAATGCTCTAACGTGTTTCCAAATTCCAATTCCAACACTCGACATGTATAATACAATGGAAATACGGTTTTTGTGTGTTATAAAATACTTGTATAAAACATTTAGATGCCGACTCGATTTGTATATCATTTAATCCTAGTATGTATACCTATTTTATATTTTATTCACTTTTAATGAATTATTGTTTTATAGTTTATACTCCTAGATCTGGATGAAAATAATTAAAATTGATAAGAATAAAATATTGTTGATTATGGCCTATTAGTAATCTAAAATAATGATATTAACCCGTATGTTCCAACTGAATAATACAAAGAGTGTTCCTAAACTCTATCAATCTGCTGAGCAATCCGCTGGATTAGCAGATTGATTTAGAAACACTCGGGTAGTAGCCAGTACATACAATATGTTTTATTTATCTGACTGATTGACTGATCGATTTATATAGGAACACGGAATATATTTACGATCGGAATCAGAGTACTCTATGATTGGATACCATTCTTTAGATAATGTTTGATAAAAACAATAATAATTGATAATAGTGATAATCGGTTAACAATAAATTATTACTAATTTCACGCGGTTTTAAATCGTTCTTTTTTTAAGTTTTTAGTTTTATTGATATATTAACGTTGCCTATCTTGTCTATGCTTTAATTTTTTATGTTTAACAAGTTTTCGACAGTTGAAAACTTTCATAAGGTAAATTTTTATTTAATACATAATTATTTTTATTTGAATTTTCGTTATTGCTTTATTTGTATCTATTTTTTCTTTGCATTTCAGTAGGTGTCATGAGTAGCCAAAAGGGAAATGCGTCTCGCAATCGTCCTCAAAAACATCAAAATCGATTTGCATTCAAAAACAATTTGCATGACACAAACATACGTACCAAACGCCTGAACGCCATACAGATTAATCATGTGTGCCCACGATGCAAAGACATATTAGAGTGGAAGATAAAGTATAAAAAATATAAGCCCCTAAAAGCAGCAAAAAACTGTAATAAGTGTCATACCAAATGTGTCAAAGAAGCCTACCATACAGTGTGTCAACAGTGCTCAGGCTCATTAAAAATATGTCCTAAGTGTGGTGTATCACGAGACCAATGGCCTTCCAACGGTCAAACAACGTTCGAAAATGGAGAAGAAGATGATAACGATCAAGAAAATAGTGATGACAAAAGCGATCTTTCAGAAAATGACTTTCTTCCTATTTAACTTGGGTATTGATTTTCTATATTGCTCTTTTTAAATCAATTCCATAATTTTTTCATTTAGATTTTGTTGATTATAAAAATAAAATTAATAAATTAGGTTGTAAGATAATTAATATTAAAATATTGATAAATGACTTAGTATTTTTACTTTATTATCAGTTTTTAAAACATTCTATATGATTAAGTTTATTCAAGAAATTTTATAAACTTCACAATAAAAGTATTAAAAGTATTAATACTCTGAATAGTCTAAAAGTTAAACACATCAATAACAGTCTGTCTTTTAAGACTTGGTTTATACAATATACTGAAACAAATTTCAAGAAACCTCAAGATTGTAATAATATTAAAATATTTAATACAGGAATGTTATGAATTAAATATGTTTATGATTCAAATCTTATTTTTTTATGTTTATTATTTGTTCAATACTTTTAATAAAAAAAATTATTCTCCATAAAGATTAATATAATTTTATAAAAAATGAAATTAATTTATACCTATCTTTTTATCAGAACACCACATTGTATTGATCAATAATTGAGTATAATTTATGTGTATTTTAAAATTTACATTTTTTTTGTTATAACAAGAATTATATCTAAAGATTTTAGTTCACAATAGATATTTCATTTTAAGTGTACTAAGATATTTTTTAGTTTTACAATTTTATAAATTATTAAACTACGGAGTAAATATGATAAAAAATATTTATCAAAAAATTAGCCAAGCAATTTAGTATAATATTTTATAGCCGACTGTAGCTCTGTTTACATACAGACCCTGATTTATCTATCTTTACACAGTGCACAAACAGGGCCTCTCCACTATTTAAAAAGAGTAGTAAACTTTTAATATATTTTTGATAGATATATGATTGGGTATTTTATAAATGATTATTGTATAACATAATGTTAAAATTGTTTTATTTTATTTATATTAGCATTTTTTATAATGTTTATTGAGAATAGAACCCTTACTACTTTATTTCAATAGTTTTAATGCAACATTCCATATTAAGATTATTTTCAACATAAAGAACATTTATTCTAATTAATAATAATTTGTATTTAATTAAAAACATATTATCAAAATTAACCAAAGGTTATTTAAATAATGACGGATAAACTGGACCTACAAATTTTAGTGATGAATGATTTCACTTTTTATTATTGCAGATATACTTAATATTAAGCTTTTTAGATGGATTATCATGTCAGGTTTGGCATCAAATCTGTTAAGTTATTTAATTTTGTCAATACACAAGATGGGAATCCAGTTTCACACACATATCTAAATAGTTACAAATATGTGCTAACACTACTTTTTATAACGAACGACAGTTATGGACATTCATTTTTTAAACTACCAAAAATATTCCGATAATAGCATTAGTTTACATTTTTCTTGCAATGATAAATCGGATGTCTTCTAAATAAAAAAATATTGAATTACTCTGTTGGCATGGCCAAAGATTATGCATTGATAATAAAGGTATTTTTAATCTATAATTAATTTTGATATTTATACTGTAGGGCTTCAATACCTTCATAAAATAATAAAATTAATAAAGAAAATACTTTTTAAAAGCTTCACTCAATTCAATAAGGTGCTGAATAATTTTTCAATAAGTATCTCTCTTTCAACCGCATCCTTTTCTAAAAATCATTTTATTGTTAGAAAGCAATCAATCTTTTTAGACCAAATAAGAATTTTTTCATGACCAAATCAAGTCCTGTTATGATTGATTTATGGTGCCAAATAATTTGTATTATATTTAATTCTTTTTTTTTTTTTATATAAACTATCGAGCACATTGATGTGATAAGGAGAAAGGGGCTGAATGGGTAACCACATATAAATCCTTGAGCTCTATAGCCAATAAATTTCTCACAAAGCCTCTCATATTGTCATCTTTTATAATCGTCATAATAGTATTTATTATTTGCTGACATCACCCATTATTTATTCAACTTTTTTACGTTTGGTCTTTGGTGAAATATTTTCGGCCAAAATACTGTTTGTATTAAATGCTGTTCTGCAAAAATATTTTTCAACATTTTTAAGGGGTCTCTTGTTTGCCCATCATCACAAATTGGTTATTTGGACAATCCCAGTGCCCGTCCTGCAGTGTTTGATTGGAACAAATTAAAAAATAAACCTCGTTAATAATATTTGATGACGCTAACTGTTATTAACAACACTAATCAACCAAATTTGGGCGAATAGTTCTTAATCGTGATTATGCAATATTTAAAAAACCGCTGTATTGGATTTAGTTAGATCTCCGGTTAGATGCGTGAAACGTGAATAAGGTCTGTAAACCGTTGGTGAATTTTAATTCATTGCAATAGATTCTATTGTCTAAGTTTAATGTATTTGTATAGAGAGATCAATATGAATTACGTAAAACAATGATTTTATAGTTGATTATCATCCACCTTAGACTATATACTATGAATGACTACTGCATGATAAATGCGTACAAGTTGAAGACATCATTATTAATGGTTGCTAATAGGACTGATGTCTAATGCACATGCGTATCATATGATCTCAGTTATCCACCTTGTGCATACAATTTAATAATGTGATAAAAATTATCAAACAATATTTTTTTTTATTATACAGTTGGCGACACTGACAACTCAACACAATCTTGAGACCAACTTCGTACTCATGCCGTGTGCCATGTTTTTTGTAGGTTGTTTATCATTATTTAGTCCTTCCTATTAGTTTCTTTTTTGTTAAAGTTTTCGTAAATTTGTCAAAATGAAGTAAGTTTTATCCAATTCAATCTCGCTTTTCTGTTCATTACTAAACTATTCCAATTAATTAATGTTTTCGATTTGCCATTGTATTGATTATTTACTGTGTATTTTAAATATCCAATTATTATGAATACTAAAATTTTGATTTTCAATGAAATCCTTAAATCTCCGATTAAAATGATTAATATTATATCTTGTGTTTTTATATTTAAAGGATCGGATTGTGCGCCTACAGTGGGTACAAAATCTACCCGGGCCATGGTAAAACCATGGTCAAAGCTGATGGAAAGGTAATAAGAAAGTAGTGTCACTTTTTTTAACTCATGTTTGTCGAACACCAGTTATGTGGGCTTGTATTAAATATTAATTTTACATAAATTCCTTTTGTAGACTTTTACGTTCCTCAACTCAAAATGTGAGCGAGCTCATTTAATGAAGAGGAATCCCCGTAAAGTAACATGGACAATTTTATACAGGTAAATAAGAGTGAAATAACTGTTTATAATATTAGTTATAGTGAATTTTAAGTATAGTTCCTTATAATAAACTATTTATTAGGCGCAAGCATCGCAAAGGTCAAGAAGAAGAAACGACCAAAAAGAAGACCAGAAGAACACAGAAATTCCAACGTGCTATTGTTGGTGCATCCCTCACTGATATCTTAGCCAAGAGAAATATGAAACCTGAAATGAGGAAGGCTCAGCGAGATATTGCTATTAAGTAAGATTCAGCATTTCTTGCCTTTTTAGAGGTTTAATTGACTTTATATTTTTTACTTTGACTATTAATCATATCTTCCTACCTATTTATAATTTTAAAAATCCCTTGTTTTTGTGTTTGAATTTATTGTTGAATTAGAACGTACTGGCAAGGGTATATAAAATTCATCTTTTAAACCACTCGCATATCTTGAAAATGATATAGTGAAAGTACCTGTCGAGGTGTACAAAAATAAATGTTATCATTAGAGAAATTTTATTTATCTAACTTCAAAATTCAGTGATTATCCATATAATGTATTTGCTACTTTTGAATTAAGTAATGATTTTAACTATAAATGAGGAGATTATCTTAAAAGTAACTTATAATAATGTTCTTATTACCTATGATTATTTTTATGAGTATTTGCTATCTTGATTTACAAAATGAAGTTAAATAACAATATGAGGAATAAATTCATATATATAATAGATTTTAAATAACGACTGTGTTTTAAATTGCTAAACATTTCATTGTAATGTTATTTCCATAATTATTTTTATTTTATTTGAGTATTTGCTATCTTGAAAAGTTAAAATTATTAATGTAGTATTTAATTTATACAGATATATTATTTTTTTTTTTATTTTGTGTATAAATAAAAATTATGTGAAATAGGTTATTCAGTGTTACAATGGTAGAAATTTACTTTAAAAAAATACCAAGAATTTTTTTTTTTGATTAACTTCTCTACAATCAGAATGTTTTATCCTGATGATTATTTTTTATTTATTCGAGTATTTGCTATCTTGAATCTATAAAATGATGAGAAACCATTTATGAGGGATTTGGATTTTCAAATATGAAATTTAATAATTCAACACTGAAAAATATCAAAGGCACAGTTATATATTATCTTACCTACATTTTATAATTAGTCCAATTTTAGTTGGGCACCTGATAATTATTTGTTATTATTGAATTTTATATTTCAAAATGCAGTTTATAAAGAAATACCAAAATTTCTTTCAACATATATAAACTAGTTTATTTTACAAGTTTGAATAAAT